ATCACTAATATTATTACACAGAAGACAGAACTTCCCTGAATACCAACAGCCTTTTCACATTTCCTTTCTAAAATGAATGGCTTTCGTTATTGGCCAGTGATGGAGTAAACCGGTACAGAGATGGCTGTTTCACACTGCCTTTCCCTACCGGTAAGGAGCCATCTCTGAAGCACTGTGGCCTTTTCAAACTGTGCCACTTTCTTTTCCTGCTGTTTTCCCCCTTGCACATGATCTCCTGAAGAGGTTTAAAAAAAAAAAAAAAAGCATTCCTTTAGGAGCGCTATGATGCTGAAACAGAATGTCATATCAGCACAATAGTGACACCATAGGGATGCCTAGACTCCGTTGAGATACATGCGCTCGCTACATCTGCCACCTGGAAACAAGTATCTCATTCGATAGAGAGTTCAAGCGGGAAATCAGGTCATCAGAGACCAGTGAGACAGCTGTTGCCATGCCTAGTGTGAGTGAGGGGAAAGTGATGGGTTTGCAGGTGATGCAGAGGCACTCATATTGGAGTGGCTGTTGCCACCTGGAGAGAAGCTGCTCATTGGGCAGCAGGTTTAGGTGGGAGATCAGGGCATCGGTGAGACAGATGTTGCTAACCCAGCCTGATGTGCATCCATCCATGTCAAGAGGCAATGGGCTGGGAAGTGACTGGTAGAAAGCTGGATCAGGTATAAATGGCAGGGAGGCAAACCCCATATCTTTGTGGGTTGAAGTTGGTGAGTGGTAGGTTTGTTTGATTAGAGTAGTCTTGCTGATCAACTGAAAGGAAGATGAGTGGGGCAAGGGGGGTAGCCTGGAAGGAGCAGGAGATTCTTGACCTTGCATTGTGGGGGGATGGTAGAATCCAGGAAGCTATGCTGTCATCTCAAAGAAATTATGCTTGTTACCAGGAGATTTCTTTGGAGATGACTTCCGGTTTTGGCGGGCTGCTGGCGGCCGTATCCCCAGGGAGTTCCTGGGGGGCGATCCACGGACCAGCGCATTGAGAGGGGACTGGAATGCCAGCCCGGGGATTGTCATACCACTATGGACGATGGCATTCCAGTCTCAGAGTAATGTGTCTAGTACCAGGGGCTTCCATTCCACTGTGTGGGGCTATCTTTCTAATCCCAGAACATTTATCTCAGGAACCATCATTTCACTCTTGGAGCTGTCATTCCAGTCCCCAGAGCAGATCTTGGCTGCTAAGCAGGGTAAAACCTGGTTAGTACTTGGATGGAAGACCACTAAGGAAGTCTAGGGTTGCTATGCAAAGGGAGGCAATGGCAAATAAACCACTTTTGTTTGCCTCTTGCCTTGATGTGACTTGACAGCACTTGCCACCAAAAAGACTTACCAAAATGAGTGGCAGGAAACAGATGTGGAAATCCACTGGTTCTTTGAATGGTTATAGGAATTCACAGGGCTGGCTTAAGCCATTTTGCTGCCCCAGATGCTTTCCTCCTGTGTCTAAGGCAGGCTTCCAGAGGCAGCATCTCTGTGGCTCTCTATAGACCTGGGCTGGGCAACACAGGTATAGGATGTGTGTAACCTTGTCCCCCTACGAGATGGCTGAGGTGAACCTGTTGTGCCAGGTTCCCCCCCCCCCCATTTCAGGACTGGGAAGGACCGGGTCCCGCGGCACAGGGGGTGGAGCGGTGAGGCGTGTCTAGCTGCGAGTCATCACCACCCCGCCCAGATGGGAAAGCGTGAACACCGAGTCCAAAACAACTTCCCATTGGCTATCATGTTGGGGTAGGCGTGACATGGCGTCTGCCAAAGCGTTTCAAGAGCCGGGGAAGTGATGCAGGGTGAACTGAAATTTGGAAAAGAAATTTGCCCACCGAAGCTGCTTTGCATTGAGACACCGAGGTGTTTTAAGCGTTTCCAAGTTCTTATGATCAGTCCACACCTCGAACGGGACCCTTGCCCCTCCAACCAATGTCTCCATGTAGATAAAGCGACTGGTGACAGTCATCCCACTCCTGGATCAGTTTATCTGGTCCCATCATTCCAATCTGGGTGCTGTCCTTCCAGTCCCAGAGCAGATTTCCCTAAACCTTTTCATTGCAACTTTTCTGTGCTGTAATATATGTCAATGAAGCCCACGCTCAGTTGGCACTCCTGCCTCCCATTATATTGGGTGGGCCTTCAGGCATCTCCCTTTGTTGCCAATGAGCATTCTTGTTTTCACTACTTTTAGTATGTCCCAGCTAGTTCTTTGCTATCTTTGCACCCACCACCAGGGGCGTAAGCTACAGGAGAGCAGTGAGACTCAAGCCTCCCCCCCAGGCAATGGAGAGGTGCTCCTGTGTGGCAAGTAAATGTCCCAATGTCCCAGAGAAAGAAAGTGGAGTTAGCAGACTCTGTAAAAGTGGAAATGGTGAGACTGCACAGTTTTAAGCCTAAGCAGCTTCTTGATACTACCTGCAGAAGGATTGAGCAGGTCTTGCCACCTTGTGCGTTTCTCCCTACCAGAGAGAGGCCCACACCACCTGAGAAAAGAGGTGACGTTCAAGGATGCGTCTCTGGAGCTAACCTTTCTCCTGGCCACCAGTCAAACAAGAGAAGGCACCCTTTGCAGACTTGCAGAAACCATAGGGTCCAGGGTGAGCACCCTGCAATGCTTCTAGCACAACCAGGGTTCAGCTCAGACTGGCGACAGGTGGCTTAGTTTGGTGCCAATTTGATGTCGTGGTTAAGCGCGTGGACACTAATCTGGGAGAACCAGGCTTGATTCCCCACTTCTCCACATGCAGCTGCTGGTGTGACCTTGAGTCAGCCATAAATTCTCTCAGAGCTATTCTCCCACAAGCCGTTCTCAAGAGAGCTCTCTCAGCCCCACGGACCTCACAGGGTGTCTGTTGTGGGGAGGGGAAGGAGACTGTAGGCCACTCAGACTCCTTCGGGTAGGGAAGGGTGGGATATAAATCCAATCTCTTCTTCTTCTGGCACCTGTCCTTTAGGGCAGCAAAACATTTTGAGCCACCCTGCCTATTAGACGTTCCGTCTTCTCCTATTCTGGTGCAGCTGTGGGATCTGGCAATGAGTTTAATGCCAAGCACGTTACTGTGCCAACAGAATGCCATGTGAATCAGCTTTGTTCTGTTCGTAACATTTGCCCATGTTGGTATGAATACTGAAGACATTGGTCTTTGATCGTGGATCTGCAAAACGGCTGCCACAAAGAGAGCATCAATGATGAAACAACTCAAAGCAACTAACAGCAGGTCAATCGTCTTGGACGAGTCCTTCACTGTCAGTATAGTCTACCTCACAGGATTGTTTTGAAGGAAAAGTGGCAGGGAGGGAGAAGCATGAAAGCTGCCCTGAGCCCCTCAGAGAAAGGCCAGGATCCAAACTGGCACTAAACGAAATCAATCTCTAATTGAAAAGAAGGGGGTTCTCCATCTTCTCTGCCTCCCTTCACACTCTCTCCGATACAACACACCCCTCCTCCGTTCTCTGCCCCTCTTGCTGCTCTCCGACCTTCACTGCTCTCCCGGCCACTACTCCTGCTGGCTTGGGGTGGGCTCCTCCTCCAGGAGAAGGGGCAATGGAGAAAGTATGGCTCCACCTCCTCCACCAAAGGCTGGGCCGTTTCCATTGCTGAAGGAATTCAGCAATCCGGACACTCCCCCCCCCCTCTGCCAAGGAAGCGGCCCCCACCCACTGAGCACCTGACATGACATCACAAATGCCTGCATCTACACAGAAGATAAAAGCCTGCACATGGGAGAGGGGGAGGAATTCGGTTGGATTCCTGTATCAGAATCTACTATCGCACAAAGACACGTGAGGCTGAAGTTGGTTCCTAATTCCCCGTTCCTTATTCAAAAATCTAACCACCAATATTGATGATACTTAAAAAGGTCTGCATCCGCAATATAAGATGGGGACTCTCCCAGACCAGACCTCTGCAAACTCAGGGCTATGATGCCCTGCAAAGGAGCTGAGGCAGGACCCCTGTCCAAAGCATCATCTCAGCAGTGCCAGCTCCCAAATGGGTGCCCCATGAGAAAATGCAAATGTGAGAATCTGCAGGCATCTGTACCCCCTAAATCACACACACAGGCGCACGCACACACAGGCTCTGTGGACTGTACCTTAGAAGAAAATGTCAACTGTTTCCCAGCACAAAGCCGAGTTTGGGCACCAGGAGAGCTTCAAAATCAGGGAGCTCCAGGACAAATGGCTCCCCCAGCTCTCGTAAGGGGCTCTTTAAAAAGTTATGGCTGCCGTTGCCGGCTACAATGGCTGCCGCCACAGGGGCGAGTGGTTCGTCCGCCTTCCTGAGCCCCGGGGTGGTGGACTTCCACTCCTAAGCGCTCCGGCTCTCACGTGTGATGTCCGAGCAGTGTTGTCCGAGCACGTGATGTCCGAGCAGTGATGTCCGAGCACGTGTTGCTGCTCGGACATTGCACACAAGACGTCATTCTGGCTCTCCCCCCTCTCGTGAGGGGCTCTTTAAAAAGTTATGGCTGCCGCCACCAGCAGAACCTATGGCGGCGGCCACGGGGGTGGGGGCCGAGTGGTTCCCCCGCCTCCCTGAGCCCCGGGGTGGTGGACTTCCACTCCTAAACGCAGATTCCGGCTCTCGGGTGTGATGAGCCCCGGGGTGGTGGACTTCCACTCCTAAGCGCAAATTCCGCCTCGGAGAGGTCATTCTGGGTCCCCCACCTCTCTCGTGAAGGCTCTTTAAAAGGTTGCGGCGGTGGCCGGGGGGGGCGCGAGTGGTTCCCCACCTCCCTGAGCCCCGGGGTGGTGGACTACCACTCCTAAGCGTAAATTCCACCTCTCGCGTGTAATGTCCGAGCTGCGTTGCACTACCTTTTCTACCTTATAAGCAGGCGAGACAGTCCCTGGTATGTTACGTAGCACGTCCCCGTCCAATCAGAGGCTGCGGGGCGCAATTCAAACTCTCAGACCGCCGTTGTTGGAGGTGTTAGGTGGTTACGGGGTGGGGGCGGTAACCTCGGTTCAGCCGGTCTCTTTCCACCCCGAGTCGCGCTATGGAGCGTCGTCTGGTGACCCCAGGCCCCTTTAGGGCCACGAAGCTGGTAAAGAGAGTAGGTCGGGACGGTGCTTGGTGCCGCTGTGTGGGGGGATGTAGTCGAACACATAGTATGAAACAGGATGCGTTGGGAAGTGGAGAAGACGCGCGTGGCTGGAGAAGCTCTCCAAGTAGAAGGGGGGGATGGGTCAGTGGGTGACTATGGGTGCGTATAATACAGGACTAGAGGAGGACTTATGCTTCTCTGACAAGGGTATAATTTATGCAGAGTACATTCTTTCATTGGTAAATGCAAAGAAAAGTTGTTTCCATAGTTACGTATGTTACATATTTCCGGGAAAGATTGTATAACCAAAGATGCAGGTTATCTGCTCCATATATATGACCTGGGAAACTGTGATTGTCAAACAGCAGCAGTCAGGTGCCTTGTATACAATATACAGCGAGCACATGTTTAATCTTTGTACACAGGATTTTTCACTGCATGAGTGTAACACATGTAATATGTAATTTAAACCCAGTATTTGTCTTGGTGCTGGTCACTGGTTTTATTGTGAAAGTGAATATGTGTTACCTTTTCCTTACAAACTAGTGTGATATTTTTAGGGCTAGTGTGTTACTTCCAGAGAATGGAAAACAATTTCTGAGTATATTCTTGGTGAATATGGAGGTGTTGTTGTTGTTTTAAATTGGATGGGGGGGGGGGGGGGACAAAAAAACCCTGTGGAAACAATGGGAACTTACTGAAATTGTACACTAATGTGACTGTGATTTCACATCACCAATAAACAATAGGCAGATGAGTGAAGGGATAATTGCAGTTAAGGGGACTTTACTACCAATAAGTGTTGAATTGTAGTGACATACTAAAATACTAGCTTGTATTGAAGCCATGTGAATTGAAAGACTAGTGACATGATCACACAGCCACCTCTTTACAGAATATATTTTTGTAGACCTGTAAAGTGGTGTTCAGTTACCCCTTAGCACTCCTTAACTGACCTGTTGTATTTACACAATTCATTCATCTTTATTGTTGAAGCAGAGGTGGCAGCACAACAGGTTCTTGTTTATGGGGGACTTTGCACATATGTAGTGTACAATTTGTAGTCTTGTGAACCCAATTTCAAGCTAAAAATTCTGTCTTAATTTTTTGATGCTGTTATTTATGATTTTTTTTTTAATCCTAAATTTCACCTTTTGTTTTGCAGTGGAATGAAGTTACAAAATATTTTCGGCCAGTAATGCCACGAAGAAAACATAGGCAACACTTAAAAAAATATGGCAATTGTTTTACTGCAGCTGAAGCAACTGATTGGCTTCATGAATTACTTAAAAATAATAACAATTTTGGTCTAGAAGTTACTAGGGAGCAAACTGTTCAGCTTTTAAGGAAGTTTCTGAAAAATCATGTGATTGAGGATATAAAAGGAAGATGGGGCTCAGAAAACTTAGAAGACAACAATAATTTGTACAGGTAGTATACATTCATATTGACAGAACATTAAAAATAAATTGACTGAACAAAATATCAGTTGATTTCCCTGTTGTTAGGGATAACCATGAAAACTCTCTGCCTCCTTTGTCCATAATTTCCACTCCCCTAGAGAATGTGGTTTTAAACATTTAGCTGTAACACAAGACCAGAATTCCAGTTACATGATGAAGTATTCCTTCTATCAGACTTGTACTGAGTGTGATGAAATTTCCACCTTGCAGTATCTGCTTGTAACAGATTTATATATCCTCTTCATGGAAAATATCAACTTTGTGTTATCTACTTACCACATTGCTATCCTATTTTCTTCTCTTTTTTAATTGTCTGATATGCTAGCACTTATACCACCTAGCTTTCATATTTGCAGATGCTGAAGGAGTGAAAAAGATTTCAAACACTTGAAAACCCTGAAGTGTGAATCTGTTTACAAATCCTTCTTGGTCAGGATAAGTTGAGATGCTCATGAAAACTAGATTACATTGTAGTTTATTATTTATTGTGTGTTCTAAATTACAGATTTCCTTCAACTTCTCCAGTTAGAAGTCTGCCAAGTCGGTGTCCGTTGCGTGAAAACAAAAATATGTTTCCTAAAGAGTCAAGCAGTGCACTTAAGGTGCCAAATTTCTCCAAGATCACTCCTAAAAAACATGAACAACTGGTAAGACAGGTAATATTTTATTCTAGATTTTGGAGGGGGGGCTTAAATGGTGTGATACGTCTCCAGTAGACAGCTTAATACTTTAGTGTCTTCGTGTTCTTTGGTGAAGCATGTCAGCCTGAGCCAAAGATTCATGCCACTCCCATGCTGTTCTTAACATACATACATCAGCAACTTGTGGCCTCCTTGTTAAATCTGGCTCACTGAAAGACATTACCCAGCCTGCTAGTCACCAACCAACATCTCCATTTGCCCACTCTTGCCAGAAATGTATTGAAGGCAGCAGGGAGAGGTAAAAGTAGCTTGTGAGCAAGAGAGAAGTTGGTGAGAGAGAAGTTCAGCTTTGACCAACAGAGAGAAGAGATGGGGTTGATAGCAAGGTAGAAGCTTGCTTCCTAACTGTGAACCATGATTCAGTCAGAAAACGATAAAGGTTAGAACTACAAATAGGAGACTATTGAAGAAACATGCAAGAGCTCTGGTACAGAATTTTTCTTTGACAAGCCTTTATTGGCATACGTATATACATATAATAGGAGATCAGATTAAAACAGAATTTTTCATGTATTTGTTGTCATCTCCCTAAACAAAACATTATAATTTTTTTTTGAAAATAATAGTTCATGAATAAGCATAGTTAATTTGTATATTAAAGAGTTCTATTAAAATATACATTTATTATACCCTCTTAGAAATTGAAACACTATCTTATTAGATATATCCTATACAAATGATTAGGACTGAAATTAATTTTGTGGTTATTACTTTTAATAAAGTGGTGGGACTTTTTTAACTAATGATTTTTAAAATGTAGACTTTTAGATCATTGGTTTAGATTATGTACCGAGGGAAGAATGTATTCTGTTTAAGAAGATGAGAATAAACAAGTTTAAAAAAAAAAAAAAAAAGCTGCAGCAACAACTCTTGTGTTTTGCAAACATGAGTTTGTTCCAGATACAAAAAGTTTGACTTTTTAAAAATAGGATCTGGCAATAATACAATGCAGTTCAATCTGTAGCTAAATTTTGTATTCCTTTATTCTTAACTAAAAGTGTCACACACTGTTACATATCTGCTCATTGAGGTTATGTTCCAAGGATTACTGAGTCATCAGCAAACTTATGGCTGCGATCACACACACTAAATAATGCAAGTTCAATGCACTTTCCAACTGGATTTTGCCAGTTCACACAGTAAAATCCAGTTGGAAAGTGATTTGAAAGTGCATTATTTAGTGTGTGTGTGTGATAGCAACCTATGTCTTGAAACTGAGTAGTATTGCTCATTTGAAGAGGTGCTGGGAGTCCCAAGTAAACCCCAAAGGCCCGCTCCTATGTCCATACCTGTCCTTTCAGATAGGAATATCACAGAAAAAGTTTCATGGCCTATGTTGGGGGGAAAATTATTCAAGAATCCACGGGACTTGGAATCCAGCAAGTACTTTCTATTGTGTTCAATACTGGGAAAAGTTGTACACCTGAAATCCCAAAGGAAATAGTCATTACACTGAGACACTTTAGACTGAAAGTCACTGTGCCCTGTCTGGCTTGTCAAAGAACTTTTTATCTTTGGGTAGGATTGATACAGCAGAGTTATTTCTGGATTACAAACAGTTTCTGGGCCCTTGGCTAACTATCCTATTATAACTGTATTAAAAAGGGATGTGAGATCCAGTGCTTTCCACAGATTTCTTACTACGCTGTGGGGAGAATTCTTAACTAAAAGTGTCACACACTGTTACATATCTGCTCATTGAGGTTATGTTCCAAGGCTGGTAGTACTTCCGGTTGGCTTCTGCATACCTCAGGTGGGGGCACAAATGGATTATTGGGCCCTGAATGTCCTTCTCCCAACTCTTAAGGATGTATTTCTGTATTATTGCTGCTGCTGTGCAGGAAATTGTAGAAAATTTAAATAGTGATGCAATGCAAGGGGATACTGACAAAATGGCACCCAGCAGGAGAATATGCCAAGCAGACATAGAAGAAATTTGGAGAAGCACCATTTTGATACAGTGAGTGATATGATTTTCCTTTTTCTTATCATTTCCCAACATAATTACAAGCAAAATCATTAATGTATGAGGCCCAGATAGTTGTAGTGTCCCAATAATGGGCCTAGGATCGCCAAAAAATTCTGGTAGCACAACCCTAATGTATACTGTAGGTGCTTGTACTGAGGACTGGAACTTCTGAATTTAGCAAGTAATATTTGTGTTTCTAAAGGAGACTACGCCTACTAAGCCATAAACAAATAGTAGAGTATTTTGGAGTGGGTTGTACTTTATCAGAACAAGAACTTTTGTTGTCTCTAATACTTTACAGAACTGCCGCTGTACTTTTCACATGCTAGATCACTGGCTTCCTTGATTATATTCCCATTTTCTCTAGCATTTCTCTTGATGATATCTTTAAAAGGTGTGCTACAGTTACTAAGATGATTGAAGTAAAGAGGTTTAGAAGAATATAACTGTTTAGATTTATACTGTAAAAAAAATTGGTCTTGTACTAGGCAGTGTGCTGGAAGTTAGAGTGGAGTCACTTGGCCACTTTTACACTGTGTGATGGTAGTAATGATTATGCTTTTGAGTGGTGACAGGGTTGCCAGGTCACCCTCTGTGGCAGGAGACCTCCCACTGGCAGCCCAGCCTTCCAGCTGCTGCTCTGTTGGGCAGCAGGAGAATCTTTGACATCACTTCTGAGGAAAACCTTGAAATGATGTCATGTTGCTGTAGGAATCACTAGAAACCACGTGGTTTTACCATAGTTGCCAGCAGTTCCTAGAGCCATATGACATCACTTCCAGTTTTCCTGAGAAGAGATATAGCACACTGTGCTGGTGTACCCAACACCCATCTACAGTCAGGTGCCAGCTATCAGACAGCAACCCTACTGGTGAAGCAAAATATGTGGGGTGGCCTTCTGAAAGAAGTGAATTTGACTTATAGCATCACAATCCACATTGTGAAAACATAATGCTTACCATTTTGTGATTTGTTCAATCATAGATTGGATTATTTCACAGCACTACTTGGTTGTTCTCAAAGTATTTTGCTCAGTTTTGAAACTGTCTACTGCTTCTTTCTTTCTGTAGTTTGCAAACTATTTTAGGTGTAGCGTGCTTGGAAGAAGTCTTGGGCCCAGCACAAATATTTCCTCAGCATATCATATACAACATGACAAATACGAGTAAACATGGCGTTGTTGTCCTACAAGACAAATCAGGTAGGACTTCTGAAGTTGTTCTTAAAATCTTTTTATAGTATCTAAAGTAAATCTGACCAATATTTTCTGGGAACCAAGTGCCAGTGTTTTTGATAGATCTTCTAGGTTAATACACTTGAAGTCTGCACGCTAATGATGGAGATGCAGGAATAAGGTTGAAATCTAGTACTTGTGGCCCTTCTTTCATTTTAAAGTAAGTCATTGTGGTACAGTGACAGATTTAAGTTCTCAGGTGTGTAACTCATTGAGCTATCACTTGGATGTACACCAGAGTGGAGGATGAGGGGCCTGCTCAGCTTACCTGGAAACGGGTGTCCTCCATCAGGTGGGCTTTGGAATTGGCTGGATTCAAACATTGGCCTGCTTCATGGGCCTCAGAATGGGAGGGGAGGGAGGTTCACACCACCCCAGACTTCCCTAATCCCCATGGGATCTGCTCTGGAGTTTCTTCCCTTCTCTCTGGGCAGCCTTGCACTCCAAGAGAAGTCCCCAGTTGATCCTCCTTGGCCCAGGTTTAAATAGCCCAGCTAGCCCCTTCCAAAGTCCACCCACCTTGTGCCCTTCTGTGATTGATGCTTGCCTTCCAAAATTATCTCATGTGGTTTGGGCCAGGATTGAGAGCCCTCTGGTGCCACCTGAAGGCTTAAGGCTATATTGCTCCCATTGGCCCTCTTGAGCCACTGTTCAGCCGCTAGGACAGGGCCTCTGGTGTATTTGCCATTGTCTCTGACAGTGCTGGGAACACCATGGTTACAGCCATTGGCAGAGACTCGGCTTTCCTGGATCTCACTGGCTGCCATCGTCTCTGCACCACAGCACTAGGTTTTGTGGCCTAGGAGAACTGCATCAGGAGGAAGGACGGGGGCAAGGCATATGGTATCAAAGTACCACATCCTTGGACTCCTTGGATTAAGAGGATGGTATGTAAGTGCAAATATATCTTTTTTTCCCCTTTCCTGCAGAAGACCTTCCACATTGGGTACTGTCCGCTATGAAGTGTTTAGCAAACTGTAAGTTAGACAAAGAACAACTGTTTGAAATGCCAGAAACTGCTATTTGTTCTGTAGAGCAGAAATGATATACTATAGTGATGACTTCTGTTAGGGTCTTCTGTTCTGGAGCTTGGATTTCAGGCTTGAAGATAAGCTAAATAAAAACAGAAAGATCAATACATACCAATAAAATCATGGACATGCAGTTACATACAAAACGTTACAATGCCAGGATGCTTTGTATGCTGGTGATGTACGTGATATCAAGCACTTTCTACTGAATCATCCAAATATGAATCCAACTGTATTTTTTAAAGTGTCCAACCAGATTTCCCAAGGTATCTTATAAAATAAGGCATGGAAGACATCTGTTGTCTGTCTCCAGGATCTAATGAGTTTAGGTGCGCTGCTCTGAACGTGGATTAGCCATAACTGCTAAAAATGGATCTTCCATGATTTTGCCTAATCCTTTATAAAGTCATCAGTGCTGCATTATGTAGTGATGAATTCTATAAGCTCACTGTGCATTGTAGTCTGCATTGCGCAGGTCCCCTGGAGAGCAGCACAAAACTTTGCTAAATAATTTTTACTATCCAACTAGAAACACGTGTCATTATAGGGACTTACTAGCTGCTATAACTTTTAGTGAAATATCCATTAACTTCCATCTTTCTACTTAATATGTATCACACAGTGATAACTTTTAGAACTTTCTTTGCAATGCATTTCTCAAAGAAATGTCAGTCCCTATTGCTGACACATACTCATCTTTTCACAACTAACTACCCAATTTTGTTGCCATGCCCTAGTTTAAAGATCCTTTGCTTCTGTTTGGTGTGCATTACTATTTGCTGTCTCATTATCTTCCCCAAGGAGCTATCACAAGAGCTCCTGTCAATGATCCCATTCCTCATCAATCCTCCCATCTCTGTACAGGGAGTACATGAAGTCCATATTACAAAGCTGTGACGTCCTCCTTATTGGGGAGGACTGGTTTCTCTTTAAAAGTTATCTTTAATTTGTTTAATAGGGTAGAATCTGCTGCCACCAGGAAATTTTAAGGATTTCCAAACCTTTATGCTTTTACTCTTACTGGTTAGGTAGACTGAGTTCAAGGCTTACGAGGAACTATGTGGTCCTGGGAAGTTTTTCTTTCAGAGCTGGTATACTTGAATGAAAGAGGATTTATTAAAATAAAGCATGAATAAGAACATAAGAGATGCCAATGTTGAACCAGGCCAAAGGCCCATCCAGTCCAACACTCTGTATCACACAGTAGCCAGAAATACCAGTGCCATCAGGAGGTCCACCAGTGGGGCCAGGACATTAGAAGCCCTCCCACTGTTGACCCCCTCCCAAGCACCAAGATGACAGAGCATCACTTGCCCCAGAGTCCCTATCTATACCTTGTGGCTAATAGCCACTGATGGACCTCTGCTCCGTATGCTTATCTAATTCCCTTTTGAAGCCGTCCATGCTTGTAGCCGCCACCACTTCCTGTGGCAGTGAATTCCAAGTGTTAAGCGCTCTTTGGGTGAAGAAGTACTTCTTTTTATCCATTCTAACCCGACCGCTCAGCAATTCCATGGAGTGCCCACGAGTTCTTGTATTGTGAGAAAGGGAGAAAAGTACCCCTTTTGTGAATAAGAGGGTAGTACAATGTAACTGTGGAGCTGCGGTGGCTCAAGTGGTTAAGACGCTGAACTGCAGGCTGTGAAAGGTCAGTAGTTCAGCAGTTCAAGACCCGGGTGCTGCAAGACGGGGTGAGCTCCTGTCTCTAGTTCCAGCTCCTGCCAACCTAGCAGTTCGAAAGCAAGAAATTGCAAGTAGATAAATAGGTACCACTTCGGTGGGAAGGTAACAGCGTTCCGTGCGCCTTGGTGTTTAGTCATGCCGGCCACATGACCACGGAAACGTCTTCGGACAGCGCTGGCTCTTCGGCTTTGAAACGGAGATGAGCACCGCAACCCTAGAGTCGGATTCGACTGGCTTTCGAGCAAGGGAACCTTTACCTTTACCTTTTTACAATGTAACTAGTAATGTGTAAATACTGAACAATTTCTTTGGTATCCCACACAATCTTCTCTCTCACTGACAGGGATCTTTTCATGTAACTTTGTAACACTTGTTTATCTCAATGCCATATACGTTTACTGTTCCACTCCAGTCTGTTATGACACACAGACTTTCCTATAACTTTTCTTCACTTAAACTTTAGTTTACTTTACTTTTCCTATACATTCAGCTTTTAGATCTCGTTCCCTTTTTCATTGAACAACCGCAGCTGTCCTTCTAACTGCTTCCACCCAGAACTGCTTGTCTAACTAACTAACTGAACATCAACTGTCAACATCTAACTAAAACTCCTGACTGACTCACATACTCATCCAATCAGATTCACTTCCAAAACCCTTCCCCCTCTCTGTCAGCTACCAATCATACCACACTTGCCTCTCTCAAACACTCTAGTCTATCTACCACAGCCATGCAACCAAACTTTTAAAGAGACACACACAAAAAACCAAGGAATCATTACAAAAGCATTATAGGATTTTGTGGTAGAAACAATGGTGAAGACTTTGGCTGAGTTTCTGTGATCCCATGAAATTTCACAAACATTTTGCTGAGGTAGTGAGGTAGCCAACAACAGTATGCTTGCAAGGAGAGTTGTATCCAGAAGTTAGATTGGATTTACAAGCCATTTCAGCTTGCAAGGCTACTCTATGTGACAGCAGAGTTGGGAAAGGACTGTGGCTCGGTGGTAAAGCATCTGCTTTGGACACACAAGGCCCCTGGCTCATTCCCCAGCATCTCCAGTTATAAAGATCAGGCAATGGAAGATGGGGGAAATCTCCACTTCATACCCTGAAGGGGTGCTGCTAGTCAGAGTAGACAGTACTGGCCTTGATAGACCCATGGGCTGATTCAGAATGAGGCGACTTCCTGTATTCGTGTATAGCCATGCTATTTAAGATACTGGGTTAGAGCCGACCAGTTTTTCCTCTGATTGAAAAAAGGAGGAGGGGTCCCCTTCAGAAAAGCTATGCTGGGGATTGTAGGACCTGCATGGACAAAAACCATGTGGCTGTAAGGAGAAGGAGAATTTGATGAGTACAAAAGTGGGTGGGTCCAACCTACTTAATACCAAAAGCCAACATGATGGATTTGAAGTCATTTACAGAAGACACTATGGGAAAAGTTTACTTTTATTGAGTTGACTGCTAGTGTTTTCTGTGGGAAATATTCTGAGGCTTCTTTAAATTCTTGATGCCTGTAACCCACAGAGGCCTTTGGAAGGAAATTAAGCGGTAAGGAATGTGTGGCTTTGTAAGAATATAAAAGCAACTAATATTATTTTTGGAGATAAATGAAATAGTAACATTTTATATCTCTTAAAATATTCTTCTCTGTATTGCTAAATATATTTAATTACTGTAGCTACCTCTTGCTTTTGATTTCTCAAATATATTTTCATTGGTGCGTGTGATAGATGACGTCTTTTACTGTGGCAACACTGTATGCTCTTTACTTTTCACATTGTAATTCTTTAAATAACACCAAAATCCATTTTTCTGAGACTTTCTTTTTTCTGCATTTAGGGCCTAGAAATAATGACATGAGCCAGCCAACTTATGTGGGCTTTGAAAGAGATGTATTTAAAACAGTTGCTGACTATTTCCTTAGCCTTCCTGAACCTTTGCTAACTTTTGAGTATTATGAACTGTTTGTGAACATCTTGGGTATGTATTTGTTTATTTGTGGCATTGAAAACATATGTACAATTGAGAGGATGGATTAAAATACTGTGAATCTGAGGGACATTGATCTCTGCAGGCTGATTTTCAGGGTAAACTGTACCTGTAATTTAGGATAAGTAATCCATATAATCTATTATAAATCCAAGTGACTTCTAGTTTAGGGACATCCTAGTCTAGGTGCTGATTGTTGAACACAGAATAATTTGTTTGTCCTTAACCTTGCATATTTGGGCTAATGGTTGCATGTTGGTTTTTGAATGACCTCTGATAGAGCAAGTGTTCTTTCAATATTACTAACACTGAGCTTTAAACTCTGCCTTGTTAACTGTTCTGATTCAGTTGCTTGTTTGTTGTCCTGTCACATCACTTGCATCTTAATTTGTATTTCATTTTCTGATAGTTTTGTGTGGCTACATCACAATTCCAAATAGATCCTGTGGAAACCCTAGTAGCCGGAATGACTTAGAGCTTCCAAAAACTCCACGTTTAAACACTTTCAGATCAACTGAATGTCTCCTGCTAAGTTTACTCCATCGTGATACTGACAAAAAACATGAATTTGATACTTCTGGAACTGTTTGTAAAAAGACGTACAGAGTTGAAAGAGGTTGTGCAGAGTTTCAGCAATATAAAATGGCCCATAAACATGGCAGTGTTCATGAACCAATAGGTTGCAGTTACCAGCATCTTTCAAAACTGAAAAATGAACAAGCCCTGCCTCACAAACCTAAGACAAGATGTTGCTCTTTGGAGGGAATTGCAGATACCACAGCAACCATGCATACCAAAGATGGATTAAAAATGCTTTCTCAAGCTGGAGTTCATGTCACGCCAGTCGAAAATCAGCTGCTTCATTCACAGTATAAACCAGATTCTTCAGTGGATCTCTATTCTAGTAACACTAATCAAAAACAATCGGGTGGTGTCAAGAGACTTTCTGCATCAGATGTTACTGAACAAGAACTACATAGTGGTAACTACAGTCAAAAGAAACTTGGCAGGTCTCAGAGTTTAAGTGAACATAACAAATCCAATCGGTGTGGCATCAGTGCTCCAGTTGCAAAGTTCACATCCAGTAAACCACATCCAGTGAACCACAAAAACCAAAGTACTGCTAAATTGGTTGCTAAAACAGGAAGTGAGCCTGAATGTTCTGATATTGTCATCAGTAAGAGACTCTGCAAAAGTTCCACAGAACTTTCAGAAAACATATTTTCTCCTGCCACTTTTATGTTGACTGGCACATCAAGTAAGATTGCTTTCCAGGGCATGGTTTTTAAAAAACTAAAACTTTTCTGCTTTCTTTTGCCACTGCTAGAGTTTTGAATTGCTAGATTTATCAAACAGGAGCCTCTGGCCTGTGAGGTTAAGGAACATGTTAACCTAATACTTTACAATGCAAGCATCAATATCTTCTGTTGTGCATGCTAATACAAAGTATTTCTTCTCCTGTCTAGCCTGTGGTATTTATCTGGTTTATCATATTTGCACTTAATAAGAATAATAAAGGGTGTTTTTTTTCCATTTCAACGGGGGGGGGGGGGGGGGGGGTTGACCCTGACTTTAAATCATTTTTCCAGTCTCCCAGGATCTATATGCATACCTTGGTGATGTGTGTAACTAGAATATACAGAATACTTCAATGTAAAAAATAACTTGTTGGTGTTCACATGCATTGTTGAAGCAAACTGCAGTGAGTTCACATCTAAACAAAGATGTCTTGACAAGAGCAAAAACTTTACTGCAAGTTGATTATTGTGTCTCCCCAATTCTTAATCCCTAGGTCTGTTGCAACCTCATTTAGAAGGAGTAGCCATTGAAGCCCTGCAAGTGTGCTGTTTGCTCCTTCCACCACCCAATCGCAGAAAGCTTCAACTCTTAATGCGCATGATCTCCCGAATGAGTGAAAATGTTGATATGCCACTCCTTCATGATGCAGTGGGCACAAGGTCTTTGGTAAGATTCCTTTCTTTCCACAAATAATTTTTAAATTCTTCAGCTCTATATGTCATTTATAAATAGAATTGGTATGATTATAGCTCTTTCCTGTCCCTATGCCCTGACAGGTTAACCCAATCCTGTCAGATCTCAGAAGCTAAGCAGGGTTGGCCCTGGCTAGTATTTGGATGGATGACCTCCAAGAAATCCTGGGAGGCAGCCAATGGTAGACCACCACTGAAATGTCTCTTGCCTAAAAAACAAGTCTAGTTCGGCACATAGAGGTGCATAACACTAAAAGAGCTAGAGCTTCTGGCTGCCAGACAATCTTAGGATCTCCTAGCTATACTACACACACTGCAATATGATAATTATAATATTGTTAATTATTTATTATTATATCTTTATTTATTAAAAATAATTAATATTCTATACTGCTGTAAAGGGAATTGTGGTAAGGAAAGCAGTTTTTAAATGTTATCAGATTGTTATTAGATGTTCATGCTATTGGATTGCATTGTTTTATACCCTGAGTCTCAGTGAGAAAGGTGGGCTTTAAATAAAGAAGACTGCAAAAAAATTTTTGCATTTTGTTTTATTAAAGAAAGGATTTTATACTTTAACACCATCAAAATCATTAATATTATGAAAAACAAAACTCCACTTGCATGCTTACTGCAATACAATAGAAATACCTTCATTACATGTTTTGTTTAAATGTTTTCAGATGATACAGACATTTTCTCGATGTGTATTGTGTTGTGAAAAAGAAGTAGACCTTGATGAGCTGCTTGCCACTAGATTAGTTTCTTTTCTAATGGATCATCATCAAGATATTTTTGAAGTCCCAACTTACTTACAAGTTGCAGTGCAAGATCACATAGAGTCCTTAAAAACTACTCAGGTGAGATAATGCAGGAAAAGGGTTAAAGCTTCTCTTTTTAAATAAGCTCCTATGATATTTAGTTAGTGACGTAATTGGTTCTCTAGGCTGTTGACAGGTTTTTTTTCTTTCTCTCTCTCCTGTGATTGGGGCTGCAGTCACACTCCCTAAATAATCCACTTTCAATCCGCTTTAAGTGCACTTTCCAACTGGATTTTACTGTGTGAACTGGCAAAATCCAGTTGGAAAGCACATTGAAAGTATATTCAAAGTGGATTATTTAGTGTGTGTGACCGCAGCCAATATCTACTCATGGCTCATGCTTAAAATGTAGGATTTAACAGTCCTTGCTGCTTAATAAAAGTAACACAGGATGCTTCCATTGATGTAGTAGCTCCTTGGCAGTTGTACCATGTGCTTCTTGAATAAATGTCCATGGCGTGCTTAGGTTTTGACCAGTTGAGTTTACACCTTGCCAGAGTTAGTCTTGTACTTGTCACAGAAGCAACATAACTGCCTGAAAACAGAGAATGTACTGGCTCAGTCCAGACTTTGTTCCTTGTGTCTGTATATGTTTTTGTATCATTTTCTTTTTGCTCTTTTCTTCTCCTGTTTAAGTACTCCTATAACTGGTAAAGTCTTCAAGTCCGAAGTAGTAACAAAAAAACTGTGCAGGAGTTTGCGCTAATAAATTTGAAATATTAATAAAAAAATTCATACAAAAGAGTGTACAATATTTGCATAACATATCAAATGCAGGTGAAGATGGTGATCTCTGGAATGTTCTACCGTTTTGACACAAGTCTTCTTCTGAACAATGATGTATACATGTGGTGTGTGTCTGTTTCATTTCAACTGATTCATCATCAACAATTTCATGGATCTCTCAGGATTGTCTAATACATTGTAGAAACAGTTTCTAGAAAAGCCTTTCCGTGGGTGAATGAATCAACTTCATGAACTTGTGTCGAAACAGCAGAACATTCCGGAGATCACCGTCTTCACTTGCATTTGATATGTTATGCAAATATTGTACACTCTTTTGTATGAAATCTTTTTGATTAATATTTCAAATTTATTAGCACAAGCTCCTGCACAGTTTTTTTGTTACTACTTCGGTCTGTTCAGGGACTGTGGCCATCAGCTTTAGACAAAGTTTTCAAGTCCGACAGTCCAACTTTTCCAAACAATTTGTCATCATTTTTTGCTGTGAAAGTCTTTTTGTGAAGCACCTGATTCTGCCTTGCTAAAGCTTCTTCTTGCTTACAAATAGCTTCTTTGTCTTTAAGAGTCGGGTGTAACAGTTTGTCCTCTGAAGAGGTTGAGTTTAAATTGAATAGTTCAACACAGGTGTCCTTAATTGTTGATTTAATTGTATCTACAATCATTGATTTAAGGTCATCCCACGAGAACTGATTTGCATTGTCTTCATCTAAATTATCTTGAAGATCCATTTTATAATCCATCTTTAAGTCCTTTTCTACTTAGAAATACACTTCGTAGTCACTGTATTCACTGCTTGTCATCTCTATATGCAATGCGGTAAGAGTGTTGTCTTGCTATATACTTAGGAGCCAAACCACATTCCTTGAAAATTACACTCTTAAGGGCATTAGCTACCAAAAATCTCCTTAGTTTCAGATAATTGTTACCATCAGGCACATGTGTAGACCCCACCAATCTCTGCGAGTCAGCTTTGTATCCAGGAAATACTTTAAAATAAGTGAAGTAAATGAAAGTCCAAGTTTAAGTATCACTAATTTTTCCTTGTAGCAAAGCTGGGTAGCTTATTCAGTCTTTGTTCCATTAGGTATACTAAAGTAATCAGGTGGCAGTAATTATAAATCCACTCTTTTTTGGTTTATAAATTTTCCAGAATCTTGCTTCCACAACTTTTAGACGCCATTTACGTTAGAGAGGGGGGGGGGGATATCGCTCCTCCCTCTCTAGTTTTCCGGATTTTCGCAGGGGGATTTATTCAAAAAATCTTAGTTCTTTATAGCTTTGGTTGCTCTTTGTATTTACTCACAGTCTTTGTTGTTGTTGGAAGGTGCACAGTTCTTTAGTGAAGTTACAGACCCACCTCACCCCGTGGCTGGTAGCGACAGCTTGAACTCCTAGGAGGAGGTCGTCGTCCGCTCAGAGCTTCGGGAGAAGCCTGGTTTCCCTCACTGCTGCCGCATGTTGAGGGTACTGGCTAAAATTCCCATGCTCCCGACCCTCTACCCGAAACAAAAAAGTCGGTGCGGGGAGAGTCTTATTCTTGGACTTTTACCTTGCCAGATAAATTGGGTGACAGTTTTGTCTAATTTTTTTAAGTATCTTTCATTTTGAAAAATCGGTATTGTTTGGAATAGGAAGATCAATCTTGGTAGTATATTCATGTTGATAGTAACTATTCTTCCCATAAAGGATATTTGAAGTTTGTTCCATTTTTCCAGATCTTTCTTAATATCATTCAGCAGTTGCATGTAGTTATCTTCCATCAGTGAGCTACATCTATTTAAGTTTATTCCCAGGTATTTGACTTTCTTTTGGATTTCTAAGCCTGCTAATTATTGTAACTGGCTTGCTTGTAATTTGGTCATATTTTTCACAAGCATTGTAGGTTTTTTACAGTTAATTTTCAATCCTGCTATTTCTCCATACTCCTGTAGGGAAGCAATCAGTTGTTTTACCGAATTCGAGGGTTCTTCTAAAATAAATACTAAATCATCTGCAAAGGCTAGCAATTTATACTCTTCCCCTCTTGAGTCCTCTAATTTGTTGGTCTGTTCTGATCGTATCATTTAAAAAACTTCAAGAACAAAAATAAACAATAAGGGTGATAAGGGGCATCCTTGTTTAGTTCCTTTTTGTATCTCAATTTTTCATGTTAAATCTGTTAATAGAAATCTTGGCTTCTTGTTTGGTATAAATTGCTTTAACCATTTTATGAAATTCCGTTCAAGCTTGAGAAGTTAAAAGTAGTTCTAACATGAAATTCCAGCTAACATTGTCAAAAACTTTCTCTGTGTCTAGGAATATTAAGGCCAGTTGTTTTTCAGAGAGTTCTTTTCATTCTTGCAGCTAAAATAGAGGCATCAATTTTATAGTCCACATTTAACAAAGAAATTGGTCTATAATTTTTAATTTCTTTTGGATCAGTATTTTGCTTATATATAAGTGTTATTAAGGCTTCATTCTATGTGTCTGGAACCTCTTCAATTTTTATGTATTCTATTTCTTGATGAATTCTAATTCAGTATTTCTATGTTGTATTCTGCCTTTGACAATTTTTTGTAGAATAGTGACTCTCAGATCTGCAACAGTATGCAAGAAGATTAAAATGTTCCCCCACAAGAGGCTGGAACTTCTGACCTCTCATCATTCATTACGTGTAACAACCAAATCCATTTCCGACCCTTAGTCTTTAAAGTGCTGTGGGACTTCTGTTTTACCTTACTGTAATAAACTAACGCAATAAATTAGTTAAAATAGGCTATCCTCCTGGGATTATCTGAAGCTGAAACGGCTTGTTTTTTCCTTAATTCTGCCCTGGGGTTTTTTTGTGTGAAATCATAGTTTATTTATTTATTTATTTACTATATTTCTACCCCGCCCTCCCCACGAAGAAAACGAAGTCCCTGTAAAAAAGACCATTATTATGCCAGTATTAGAGACAGAGGACTGAGGCTGTGAGAATAGGGGCTTATTTAAGTCCACAAACTTCCTACTGAGCTTACATTTGAACAGGAGGCGTCACACTGACATCTTAAATTTTACTGGTTTTCCTTTTGTGGTCAAAATACTAAAAGCTTCTCTGCTGCCTCATTGGTTAACAGAAGGAATGTTTTGGAGAAGATCTGAGTGCCGTATTTCCTACTTACTCCTACTGCAAGAGGATAACTACTCAGGAATTTGATGAACAAAAAGTTTATACCTCTCAGGCTGCAATTGGAGAGCTCTTGGAAAGCATTATTAAGGATAAAAAATTACCTCTTAAAGATAAGAAGAAAAAGCTTAAGCAGGTAACAGAAGAATATTCTACTAAAATCTTCTTAGGCATTACACCAAAGCATATGAAAAATGTCACAAGGTGGGGAACACAAGGGCTTCTTTATATGCTTCCTGAGGTGCTGCTTCTGGGACATGGGGGAACCCTAAGAATAGTTTCGGGAAGGGAAATCATCCAACCCACTCCCCCTTATGCCTGCAGGAATTCCAAGCAGGATCTAGGCCCAGGATTTGTTCCTTTGATCAGATCTGTTTTTGAAAACACTCTAAGGCTGTGAGCACATGTGCCTTTAGATCCAACATAGGTGCAAATGCCTGATGGATCTAAAGGGGGAGTAATCAGACAGCAACATCTGAGAAGCGTCCCACAGTCGTCGGCAACTAGGGATGTGCATTCGGTTTGTCTGAACAAAATGCAACCCCAAAAATGGCCCATTCGGGTCCCTTTTGGGCTGCTGCAGGTTGATTCAGATTCTCTGATCTGAATTGGATTGCCGCCGAATTGCTGCCAAAATTTGACATGTTAGGAATTGGGCTTTTTCCAGCATTGCCCCACAGCTGTGGAACAGGTTGTAAGAATGCGTGCCAAAACATCTCTCATGTCCTTTAGGAGGGCATGCCAGACGGTTCTCTTTCAGAAGGACTTCTCTTGACTGTGGAATCTTTTTCTTATTTAATGGGGCAAACCTTTGAGCAAACTTTTAATAATCTATAAACAAGACTTTTTTCACTCTTGTGATTCTAAGCCACCTTGGACTACTGGAAAGGCATGGTATACACTTTCTAAAACATGGGAGCACAGCCATTTTAAACACCTGGTCACCTTTTTGATACAGTGGTATACTGGGGCTAAGACTTATCTAGGGTGCCAGTGTCTTTGATCTCTGTCCCCACAAGCCCCTTATGCCTCACAGCTGCAATATGCAGAGACATCCCCAATGTGACGCTTCCATTACCAGTGCAGGTGGCACTGTGTTGCAACCCTTAAACAGGATGGCATGAGATGGTCTTGTTGCAGAACTGGATCCTTTGAAAGTGGAGTAGAGAACTGAACTGTTAGCCTGACATCTTGGTGCAGTATATACAGTACGGGTTCTGGGTTAGGTTAGGTGGTACTATTAATCAAGAGTTAAAAATCTGATTTCTTTGCCCTCTTCTGAAGCCCAGTGCTTGTTTCCTAGGACATAAATACCACCAAGTTCAGTGAAATTTACATGGAAGTATATATAGCCTTGCAGCCTTAAGTGATGAACTTTCTATGCCTTTTTTCTTTTCTTTTCTTTTTTTCCTTTTTTTGCAGTTGGACCTCATTAATGTTAATACTGTACAATGAGTACCTTTTGTCATGAAAAATTAAAATGTATCATTTTAAACTATTCAAAGTCATCTGACACACAATTTATTATAATCAGCTTTGTGGTAAAGTGAAACAACTTTTGAATAGCTTAGTACAGAGGATTCCTGTTCTTTTTGCAGAAAACCTTGTTCAGAGAAACTTGCCAAAATCTGCTATACACAATTGCACTTGTCCCAGAATTTCCTAAGCAAGTCTTATGACTGGAGCCTGGCTGTAAACAAGCAGCTCTTAAATCATTAAATAGTTGTTGCTCCCATTCCCTGTACTCTCTTACAGAAATGCAGACTGTGTGGTGCTTTGAAATATTTCTTGAAATTATGTCAAACATTTCAGTAGACTGATAACATCAGTTCCTCAGCTGGCTGGCTGCCTCTTCCAGAATTACTGGGTTTTGTTCTAGATGATCAAAATCTAAACTAAAATACAGAAGTAGATTAAGACTTCAGAAGACTGATGGTTGTGTGTTGGTTGTGATTGTTCTAGCCCTTGCCACATAATGCCAGGGTATCCTATTGTGTAACGGGTTGCACAGCAGGGTTTGCTGTTACCATTTCACGTCCTCATGATACAGAATAATGAGGAACCTGGCAGTGATTGGATTAGGACTGGGGAAACTGAGGTTCATATCTGTTCTTGCCATTAACCTTAGTGGCTGACCTTGGCCATTAATTCTCTCAAACCTACCGCACAGGGTTCTTTGTGAATGTAAAATGAAGGAGGGGGAGAACGTATGCCATCCTGAGCTTCTTGGAGGAAAGGTGTGACAGAAGTACTAAATAAGTATAATTAAATAGATCTACATCATATTAGGTGAGGAATTCAGGAGCAGGATTTTGTCAAGACATTAATTAATTTATTAAATTTCTAGGCTGCCCTCCCCTGCAAGCAGTAAAGTAGGCAGAAACCTTTTGGTTTTGACACCATGTTGATAATTGGTCATCTAAAAGAACACCTGCCTCTATACGTACACACAGTTGTATTAACTTGCACTTATACAATACACAGTGATTGGCACTTTGGGGGGAAAAAACCAAATAGAGATGGGCACAAAATCCCTCCTCACCCAGTAGCCATGGACTATATAGCAAAGGAACTATTTCTTTTTCTCTCTCCAGTGCTGGCAAAACAATTTTCCTAGCCCTTGAGAGCAGTGTTCCCTCTAAGCTGAGTTAGTGTGAGCTAGCTCACAGTTTTTTAGCCTCCAGCTCACACATTTTTGTCTTAGCTCAGGCTCCAGAGCTAACTAATTGATGCAGTAGCTAAATCGCTTGCTCAGAACTTTAATGCCCGTAGCTCACAAAGTGGAATTTTTGCTCACAGGACTCCACAGCTTGGAGGGAACATTGCTTGAGAGGTGTCATGTTGAAGGTGTTTGGAAAAGCATTCATCTGCTGCTGACAAAAAGGTCTAAAACAATACAACACCTTTCACCCCATCTTCAGTAGTTTCTGCTCCATTTTTTTTAGTATGGTCCTCTTCACTGCTAGGAAATAATTAAAAGCCAGACTTTGTCTCTTGGAAACCCTACTCCTGTTCTGCATTGTCAGTGGAAGTGAAGCTTGGAAGCCAAACCAACCTGAAATGGTACACCCAAATTACCAGGGACCAAAGGAAAGCTGAAAAGGAATCCAGTGAAAATTAGTAAGGAGCCTAATTTTGTTCCATTGGGCTGAAAAGATCAGAGTCTTTCATAGACTAAGAAAAGTAGCCCCTTTCTGTTTGACTGTTTTGATGTGATTATGGGCATGCTCAGAAGCAGGAATTGGGCTTTTAAATGTGTAAGATTGATGGGAAGGCCTGAGGCTTGACTACTATGTGGACACTGATGTGTTTCTCTGATGAGCTGCCTTGATTATTTATTTTATTCACTTCATTTATACCCAACCTTTCTCTGTTTCCATCATTTTCCTCTCTTCCATTTTATCCTGACAACATCCCTGGAAAGTAGGCTGGGCTGCGAGTGTGACTGGCCCAAGGTCATCCAACAAGCTTCTGTGGCAAAGTAGGGATTTGAATGTGGCTCTCCCAGATCCTACTGCAACATTTTAACTACTATACTATACTGCCACTGACTGTTATGCCTGCCCTGAGACATTTTGTGGGTTGAAAATAGTGGGGGCTCTGGTGCAAGAATTGCTGGCTCAATTTGTGGGGCAATATTGGATACAGAGTTGTATGTTTGGGTGCCTGTTCTCATTGCACCTTGTCAGTGGACAAGGCCTAGAGTGTGGTTGACGGAGTACCATGAGCAAGCCTCTCTTTAGTCCTCTGAGAGCCATCTGCATGACTGGAATGCTAGTCAGTGGCTAAAGGAAGTAGTTCTAAACCCACATAATGTCATCTCCTTATGGGCTACTACCTAGCTATCCTGTAAGAATGTTTTATTTCACCTCAATTGGATATGTGGTCTCTTTCCTCCTCCCCATCCTCTTCTTGTATGCAGTCTTTACAGATGCTGTTGTATATGGCTTGTGTGATCTTCAGGGCTAGAGATTTAACTTTAATGCAACGGCTGTCCTGAGGTTATGGGGAATTTATGGGGCTACACAGATGCAATGTATGTAATATAATAAGGTCTGTGCACTGGCTGATCTTCAAATGAGTGGAGCAAATAATCAGCCTCACAAGAATATTTGACTTGACAGTGACTATTATGGTCAACTACCTCTTTCTAGTACTGCTTATATAGTTCATATAGTTCTTGGACGTACTGGGTGTTTTGTCATTTTATCAAATATTTTCAAGCATTTTTAAAGCATCAGTAGGCTTGATACTAGTTACAGAATTTAGTAATATGTAGTAATTTGTTTCAATTTTTTAAGTTATATTTTGAACTTAGTTAATTTCAAACAGTTTTAACTTTATTTAAAAAAGGGTAATTTACTTTAACAATGTAAAATTTCTGTAAATGTGAACAATTCAATTAACCAAACAGAGAGGTATCATGGAACACCGGTTTCACACAACATTTCCTAAACAATTTGAAAAGTACAGGCAAATTAACAGCAGTCATTAATTGGAAAGTTTATCTTGCAGTTAGGCATCAGGTCAACGTGTGGAGATGCCTGCAACCAGTAAGAGGTGCTGTGCTATTAATGTCTGTCACTAGCTACTGTAAAGCTAGGAAGCAAGCAAGCTCTTGCTAACAAATGACACTATACTGAAATTCAAAAGGAAAGCTACCATATATAATGGCTTCCTGGAATATTTCATTATAGTGCACTAATAAGTTATGAGTTTTCTGATCAGCTGACAGCATTTCATTGTTAAATTGGCCAGTGTGCTAATCCTACTCTAGGAAATTCCAGTTTAAATAATTGGTGTATCTTTTTTTTTCCAGTTTCAGAAAGCATACCCACAAATCTATCAGAAGAGATTTCCATCAACAGAAAGTGAAGCCATATTGTTTGAAGACAAGCCCACAATTAAGCAGCCAATGCTAATTCTGCAAAAGCCAAAGTTCTGTAGTCTACGACATTGATTTACATCTTTTGAAAACTCATTTGCCTGATGCTTGTAAACAGAATTTGTGGGCAAATATGCTGAAATGTGCTAAAATAGCCTAAAGTGAAAATGACATCAGTGTTTACAAATGAACCCAGTAGCTGTAAATAAATACAAAAAGAATGAGTATTTAAGTGAAATGAAGGTGACATCATGTACAGCCACACTAGTAGCCAAAAAGAAAGAAGTGGTGTAGTACTACTGGTGCTATTGAGAAAATGAAGCAAACTGTCATAACTCTTTGGTGTACTGCTTCTGGAAAGGGTGCATTTTTTCAGTACACCAATAAGTTGTCCTTTGTCTTCAGTTTTGATATATATTATATGGTTGGATCTTAAGTAAAAATGTTGGGCTCGAACCTTTGGTTTGAGTAACATGACTGTACATATCCTATAATTTGCACTTATTGTAAATCAAATTATATGTATTTCTCAGTGGAATGCAGTGTAACATGGTTTTAAGCGGAGAAGACTAGGAAGCATAGAGCATGGTCACAGAGATGCTATATACAAAGATTCTGTTTACAGTGCTGGCCCCTTTTTGTACAAGTCTCGCTTTTGGAAGAGATGGCTACCTTGCTTCAACAGCCATAAGGGAGCAGTTCATATCTCCTTACACTGGCTCCACTGTGGGGTAAATTGAATTGTATGGCTGTTGAGGCCTTATTTCATTCTTTGTACTGTGCTCAAGTCCCTACAGTGTCTCTGCTTTCTTTCTGTTGTTGTTCAATTCATGCCTATATGTTCTGTTGTAAGAGTAGACTATCTAGATTTTTTCCTTTTTATCTTTATTGTATTTACAACATTGGTATGTTATTTAAGCTCCCCTTTTAAATCTATCTATCAAAATAAATTGTTTAATAAACCCTGATTTAATGTGATTCACACAAGATAGTAACTTAGTAACTTGCTGTGAAATGTGTTGGGGAAAGTGTATGTTCAACAGTGTCAAAACTGAAGTTTAGTAAAAGGATCTAATTCCTCAGCACAAAATGTTGCATCTGGATTGGGGTTTTTTCCCCCACAATTTTACCTTCCCTCACTATTTCTTATATTCCCTTCTATGAAAGTCCCCATAGCCTCTTCCATTTTTCTGCCTCCTTTCCTTCCCACCCATCAGCCAAACCTACCTTATCTCCCTGCCCCATCTTCAACTTTCCCTGCTACCCTGCTGTACCAGCCTCTCCCCAGGAAAACTCTGACCATTCTTAAATGTTATTTAGTATCTTAAACATTCCAATCCAGAATTTTTGTGCCTCTGGATCTTGCCACCCAATATGTAAAATGTCGCCTATACATAATTTTTAGCATACGCTCCCTGATCCCCACGTTAACTAATCCTTTTGAGTTATCTTTATGAAACTTCATCCACAATTCTTCTGAGATTTATTGATAAATCTTTTTTCCTTCTATAAGTTGTCTTCACTTTCCGAATCTGCTATCATCTGTAAATTGTAGCTACCGATTGTTTCTGTTTTTCTGTCTGAGTGAGAATACATTCAGACTTATTAAAAGGGACTGAAATTCATCTGTTGAATATATTCATCTGTTGAATATGAACTGTTTGGCTTGCAAGAAATGTCTAATCTGGAGATACTGAACAAATGAGATAGAAGCCTCACCCTCTTCATACTTAAGTTCTGGAAAGGACTTTATTAAGAACTATACAATTAAGTCAGTCATCCTTGTAGATTCAAACTCCATAATTACTAACTATGCTTCTAAAAGTGCAGTATGATGCATGAAAGGGGGAAACTGCAGCCACAATTTTTCTCTAAACCAGTCCTGTGCCATAGTTAATACAGTTTAAATAGGATTAGTTCCAGGGCCAGCTTGATGTCTTTTTCCCCCCTTCCAAATTATAAGCCATTTAAAGGGCAATTTATTCCATACTGAAGCTGGCAATTAGGGATGGGTGTGAACCAGGAAAATATGGTTTGTTTTGCGGTTCATGGTGTACCCAGTTTGTGAACCATGAACCGTCACAGACTTTTAGACACCAAATGAACTGGTTCCGTTTGTGAGGTTTGTGATGTGGTAGAACAGCCCACTGTGTAAGCTAGAGAGACCAAACATGCAGGGAATCTCTGACTCTCCTTTACCTGCCTTCCAAGTTTGGTGAGGATTGGATTCCCCCCCCCTCCCCCAAGGAGGTATCCCAAGGAAAGCACTTTCTGGGGAAATGACAGGTTCAGGAGTGTATAGAACAGACCCTGTGCAAGCTAGAGATATCAAACTTGCAGGGGATCTCCCCTGATGCTACTCTACATGCCTTCCAAATTATGTACAGATTGGACTTTGGTGGTCTGTTATGACCCCCCCCCCCCCCCCCCCCCCCCCCCCCCCAGGGAAGTGCTTTGGGGGAAAATGTCAAGCACAGGTTAGAAAGTGTATAGAATTGGGACCCTCTGGAAGCTACACGCACCAAATGCACAGGGAACCTCACCCTGTCTTTGAAGTTTAGTAAACATTTTGATTGAGCAGAGACTGTCTGGAAATGTATCCATTCACAAACCACTTGAAAGTTCATAGAAAGTTTGTGCCAGCTGACTTGCCACAAGGTTCAGTTCGTCAACCACAAACCCAGCAAAATTCATCACAAAGTTTAGTTTGTGAGCCGGTTCATGCCCATCCCTATCGGCAGTACTGTTGTGTTTGCGTAGCAAAAAGCCCATTTCCCCCCCCCCCCCCGGGTTGTTTTAAAAGATTTCAGATCTTACTGCAAACCTTGGGCTTTTCTGTTTTGTAGAAAGATCTGTCCTGTTTAGCCATAGCCCCACTCTCTGGATTTAAGCAGCCACAGATGAGGCAGTGTTGAAAGTTAGATACATTGATTTCACATGCAATGTAATTTCACTGGTTTGGGTCCTAAGCCCTGCCTGTGGGTTCACTAAAGCAATCTTTATTTATTTATTTATTATATTACATTTATTACTCGCCTAATCCCCACGACCATGGGGCTCTAGGCGATGTACAACATTCTAAAACCATAAAAAACATATCCAGCATGATACAGTAATTAAAAGCAAGTGGTGAAAATTTTTGCAGTTCCCTCCTGTCTGATCTGTGAGTGCTTCGCACGCACGGGGGGGGGGGGGGGGTGCGCGAGAAAAGGGTCCAGGTAGGGTGCCAGCCATGATGTCAACCATTGCTGTCCTCAACCAAACGCCTGGTGAAACATCTCTGCCTTACAGGCCCTGCGGAATTACTTAAGATCCCACAGGGCCTTGATGTTATTTGGCAGAGAGTTCCACCAGATTGGTGCAGCTGGCTTTACTACTGTCCCCCTCCCACTGCAGACATTCCTTAAGGCTTCTGGACTTTTAGAATGGCATGGAATGCAGCATGGGTTTATACAAGGCGGAAATTAGCAGAAATCAGCCCTCTCCCCTCCTGTGTAAGCTGTTCTTCAAGTGCGGCAAGAGTTTGCATAGGGATGAAACCTTGTGCCAATTCTCCCTTTGTACGCTGTTCACAAGGATTCCTCAGTGCTCAAAAGCAGCTTTTCCCTGGCACAGGGAACAGAAGAAGAAAGTCAAAAATCCCTTCTGTCAACTGCCCCCACACTTGTTCTATACTAAATGCAGTTTCTGAGATTAAGCCCATAGTTTAGATAATACAGAAGACTACTACAAAATGATAAATGGCTGATACTTTTTCACAGTGAGAAAACATAACATTCTCAGTTGTCATGTTAATAGGCTACTTATTTGAATCTTTTATCACTTTGTTTCAGTAAACCATCACCACATTGTTCCAGCAGATCATCATCTTTACATGGATGTGAGAGTTGTTAGCTGACTTTTTACGTATAGTCATAGACCCATAAGCACAGCCAAGACTTACCTTCGCCAACATTGTGGTGTAGCAGAGCGAGGGAGGTCAGATGGAGGCAGGACTGGCAGTGTTGTGCCTTCCAGCAGGGTGGGGGGCTGGGTGGTTCTCCATGGCCTGCCTCATCAGGCTGGAAGTTGCGGGGGGAGGGGCTGCAGGGGCTATATGGGAAAGTCCATGCTGGGCCCTGACCTCTTTGTTTGTGGCTCGCTGGCTTGCCCACCCTCCCTCCCTCTCTTGTTTCTGGCTTTTAAGATATATAATTTCATTTGCTCTGCTCTTTTATTTGCACAGCTTAGCGGTTTGGGCATTGGGACAGATTCTTGGGGGGGGGGGAAGCTGTGCCTGTATACATGCCTACCCCATTTTGGGGCTCCCATAAGGGGCCTTGGTCTGTGGAGCCACTCAGCCACATGCCCAGGCAGGGGGTAGAGGCTGGTGTCCACATGTGTCCCAGTATCCTGTCACTCCACGGGCAATCCTCCACCAGGCAGGCTGGGAGAAGGAGTCCATCAGGCAGCAGGCGGGTCACCCAATGCATGGATCCATCCCTATGCTGCACCATTGCTACTTTTGTTTGTGTTTATTTATTTATTAGTTCAATTTATACCCTGCCCTGAGCCAAGGCAGGCTCAGGGCAGCTTACATAAAATGCATATATAAATACAGTTAAAACATACATAAACAATCAATTATTCATTTTCCTAAAATGCCAGAAACAAAGTGCAAGAGCAGAGATTCCTAGATCAAACCATACCACTACTTAGGTGATAGTCCTGATGGTATTCTCAAATCAGCTCAGTTTGATAGACTAATTTATGCGGTGAGATAGGCTGAAGGTGGTAAAACCAGGGAAGGCGGCGCCTAATCGAAAGCATGGTGGAAGAGCTCCGTCTTACAGGCCCTGCAGAACTGTAAAAGGTCCCACAGGGACAGATCTCCAGAAACGCATTCCACCAGTATGGAGCTGCCACCAAGAAGGCCCTGGCCCTTGTTATTGCCAGTCTAACATCTTTGGGGCCTGGGAGGGCCAGCCGGTTTTGGGTCCCAGGACGCAGTGCTCTCTGGGGAACATATGGGAAAAGGCAGTCCCTCAGGTATGCCGGACCCTGACCATAAAGGGTTTTAAAGGTCAAAACCAGCACCTTGAAGTGAATCTGGTATGCTATTGGCAGCCAATGCAATGCTTTCAACACAGGCTGGATGTGCTCCCGCATAGAGAGACCCATCAACAGCCTGGCCACAGCATTTTGCACCAGATGCAGCTTCTGGATTTGGGACAAGGGCAGCCCCATGTAGAGAGCATTACAGTAGTCTAATCTCAAGGTGACCATCGCGTGGATCACTGTTGCCAAGTCATTGCGTTCGAGGAAGGGAACCAATTTCCTGATCAGCCGAAGGTGGTAAAAGGCTGACTTGGCAGTGGCTGCTCCCTGGGCCTTCATTGTTAAAGAGGCATCCAGGAGCACTCCCAGACTCCTAACCTATTTATGCTTTATGCTATTTATGTTTTATGCTAGTTTTATGGTTTTATGTGAAATCGGCATATTTTGCCATCTTTTGTAAGCCGCCCAGAGCCTGTTTACAGGGTGGGCAGGGTATAAATATAAGTATAAATAAATAAATAAACCTCCAGCGCTGGCACCAACAGAGCCCCATCAAAGGTCGGGAGTGGGATCCCTACTCTCGGGCTACCCCAGCTCAGGCACAGACGGATTCAGTTTTGGTCGACTCAGTCTAAGCCAACCAGCCACAGCTTGTAATAAATAAGCTCTGGCCACGTTTTCCCAAAAATGGATTGTGTGTTTAATTCCTTCCAGCACCTCCCTCTCTATCCCTCCTTGAACCCTGCAATGCACAGATTGAAAATGGAGGGATAGATTTTTGTGACACTACTTAAAAAATAAGTACTTTATCTTGAAGAAGGTGTTTACTATTGAATTTTACTGGACCTTAATGCCTTGAGCCAAAGAACAGGTTGGTTAATTCAGACATTCAAGATATCTACCCACTGGCCCTTATTGTTCAATGAAAAATGCTACGGTGACGGTGGAAACCAGGAAGTCCCTGTCATTCTCTAAACTTCGTGATCTTGTGCTCTTTTGTTTTCTTCTCAGTTCCCTTTCCATGACTTCTTCGCCAATGCTGCACCACACGTTTCTAGACCCTGTATGCGGTTGTATTCCAGTCCTCCTTTGGATCTTCATTTCAGTAACTCTGTGTGTTTACCAGAGGTCATTTCGGGGGGGAACGCGGGGGAACGCAGTTCCCCCGGGTGAGGTACGGGGGGCGGGGCACATGACGAAGCCCCGCCCCCTGCTTCCGGCCACCCCGCTTCCGGCCCTCATTCAGCCAGGAGGAGGCAGGAGAAGAGGGAGGGTAAGTTGCTTCCTCCCTGCCTCTCCCCACCCCTGCCTGCCTCGGCCAGGGAGGGCCTTCGCGGGGCTTCCTTGCACTCCCGCCAGCCTTGCAGGTCCACCGCCGGGCCCCTCATGGGGCTCGGCAGTGGAGCTGCAAGGCCGGCACCGGCGGCCGGGACCGTTGGGGGCGGGGTGTGTGGCCTTATGACACATTTCCGGTGATGTCAGGAGGTGTGGCCTTATGACACACTTCCGGTGATGTCAGGGGGTGTGGCATATGCTAATGAGTCATGCTAATGAGTTCCCCTAGCTCTTTTTCTATGAAATGACCCCTGGTGTTTACACTCTGTTTATTCAGGTACTTGCCTTTCAGGCCCCTAATCTATAGTTTTCTTTAACCATTCTTCCTTCCTTCCCACTGAGCCTATAGTATATTCTAAATTCCAGAACTGTCTTCAGATCATTCATTACCTCAATTCACCATACCTATCCCTGTTTCCCTCCAACCTTTCTTCCTGAAAACCCAGAAAATCTACAGCAACTTTCTCCCTGTCTTGCCCAGGACACTGCCTAATATCTACCCTTGCTTGTAGGCTTCCATTTCCCTTAATGGTCCTACTATTGGGGACTCATCCTCTGTCATTTGCTGTGAGATTTCAGTCTCAGCTTAAGTGACAACATTGCAGTCTAGTTTCTATGAGGGAAAGTAAATTGACAGTGCTTTGTTTCATGAGCAAAATTCCATTATAAATTGGTTTTTTCTATAATGCTGTAATAATGGAGATCACTGTGCCATTTTACCCAGAATCTGTGACAGTGTGACTCTATGAATTTCTATTCCAAGGAGGGCAGCATTTCCATAATCAATAAAATAACTTATTTTTGTTCTCTGTAGCAGTGCTTGTGTCTTGGATGAAAGCCATGCACACAGCACTGGGTTATACAATGTAAATGGGCCTGTTTTGCAACAATTAATCTTAGACAGACAACAAATCCTAGAACCTTAGCCTTCTGTATCAAATAACTATTGGGCCATGGTTGCCTGCATTGATCTGTAAGGTTTGCCTGCTTTTGTAGAGTCAACAACCAAGGTGGTTGTATACATGCCAAATCAGAGGTTTATCAGAAGGCCCTAAAGACCCTTATTTCCTGTTTCACCTTGTTTCACCTTCTTCCTACATTCCTGATATGTAGTTGCCTTACTCTATTGTGGCCAAACGGGCCTGCTTGGGCTTGCATGCCCTGTTCCATCCTGCCTTCCAAGGTTTTCCCCATACCTGGAAAGGCTTTTCTTTCTCTCTTGGGTAGCTCAACCCCCCCCACCCCGACCTTCACAAGGAATGGCCCACTGGGAGGGACAGGACTCCCAGCTACCCTTCCAAGTTCTGAGACCAAGCCTACTCTCCACAGCTGGTCACCATGGAGACAGTTTACTGCCTTGTGTGCCCCTGGAGGAATAGCCACTTGCCAACTGCCTGCCTCTCCCCGGTGTTTCTTTTAAAATGGTGTGTCTGGAACAGTGGAGGTCTGTGGTACAGAGAACTACTACAAGCATCCAGAGTTATAAAGTATTTATTTAAAATAACATGTTCATAAGCATACTTTTAGCACAACACCACAGTGAGCAAGGGAATCCAAAAGAAATGAAAACACAATTCCTCTGTCCCTCTCTCTATACATGCAGATGTATACATCTATACATCAGATGTTAAAATAGGCTAGGCTCCTTTAGCTTAGGAAGTTACAAATCTCTAGTTACCATTACTTGCAGTATTCTGTAGCTCTCCAGGCCAGTATGCTCTGATGGACTCAACACCCAAAGAGAACTTCTCCCTGCATCCGGGAGTTTTATCTTCTCCCTTTCCCCTCCCACTGACATTTCTTCCTGGAGATTCTTCCTGAAGTACCTCTAGCATTTCAGTCCTCTAAATCTCTGTTCCCTGCTTGGAGGAAGGGGGAGAGTTGGACCCACCCATTATCTCTCTTGATAGATAGCATTTGTATGAAGGTGAGCTAAGATATGTCTGGAATGCAAATGAACTGACTCTCCCCAGCTTTCCTGTCTCTGCCCATCCAAAGAAAATAAACCTTTAAGACACAAAGAGGAGGTTTGGCTGATTTTGAACTTTCCAGGAAAAAAAGGCATTTATCTTCACACCTATCATTAACAAGTTACATACATTAAAATTTATCTGACATATTAGTTAAGCAGACAAGCTTAAAAGCACCTCGTGACTGCTGCTGGCTAAAGTATTGAATACAACATCTGATAATATTTAGGGCTTAGGAGAATAAGGCTGTGATCCAAGAAGTCCATTAAAATTAGTGGGGTTTAATTGTAAGTTGATACATTTAGAAGTGGGAGTAAAGTTAAGTATTTGTTTTTGGAGTAACCTGACTACCTGATTATAAGTTCTGTATAAATCTAAAGACTGTATGCCCTTTCCACTAATGGTTTGGTTAAATTATGCCATGTTCTGTGTTATGTACTCCCTAGGCACATTTCTGAAAACTTGAGAAATAAAAAGTTGATACACAAAGAGTTCTTTCAATGATCACAAAACTAGCACAAGTTATCAGTCACAAACAGATCTGCTGTAAGCCGAAGTTATAGTTCTAAGGCACATGCCTTCAGATAAATTAACAATTGCTGTACTTCCTTGCTGAAGCCTTCTGCTTGTCATGTTTATCAGAGCCTCTCCAGAGAAGAGAAAGCAGTGTGTAATCCTTCATTCATGATACATGGAGAAGACTTATACAAATTTGGAGCCAGCAGTATGCCCAATGACAGTTTCTCTAAACTGGAAATTTGGGCACTGGGTAATTGTTGGTGCCAAGGAGCAAGCACGTTACAGGCTGTGTGACTATAGTCTGCTTTCCTTGTCCTTGTTTCTTTGTAATCCATTTCTGCTTGAGGATTTAGGTCTCTGGAAAACATTCAAAGACCTTTGAACAGCAGGACAAAATCTCGTAAAGCTTCAGGAGAATTTGAGTGGTGAAAGATGCTTCTGTTTACTGGGAGCAAGCTGATTGGCTTCTATGTTTTCTTAAAGCCATCGATCCCTTCAGGAACACCTAGCATTCATATAAATACCCAGTCCACATCTCCAACTGCTGTAATCTACACTTGGCTCAGGAAAGTTCCAATCTTACTGAGGACATGTACAGCCAGTGAGTATCCTCTAGGCTTTTCTCAGGACAGATTAAATACCAACTAACAAAAGGTACCAGTGACACCTATTTATTGCAGTTGGCTAATTTTTCAGAAGAAAAGAGGACTGCATCTTCACAGGCTGCTTGTGACTTGTACAAGATTGTGATGAGAATTCTCAGAATTTTAGGGGGAGAACACCAAACCTGAGAAGGCAGTTAGTAATGGATACTCTTAGAACTGCAACCAGCTCTCCCTTTTTCTTAGCTCTTAAATAGGTCCCATTGAATGATCACATAGTGGCCAGTGAGCTCATTCAAGTGCTCTCAAGATGTACGTATGTTCAGTGTGATGCTTCGTTGTTCTTTGAACAGGAGCACATTATGCCCATTTCACACACCACTTTTGAAACACTCTGGCATTCAAAGTGCTTTGCTGTGTGGCATAGGGAGTTGTTATTCAAGAAGTCTTTGTTCAAGGCTCCACTGGATACATTGGTCTTTGAATTGTTGTGACCAATTTGCTTGGGATCACAATAAGGAGGGCATTTTCTGTTTGAGGGTTCAGATTGTGATGACCGCAGTCTTCCTGGAGACTGGAACTTGTGAAGATGGCTAATATGTATATTTAGTTCTAACATAATGTGATTTGATCATGGGTAAACACAGACTGAACTTGATGGAAGGACTGTGTGAGGCTATTGGTTTTTCCTTTGACTAATGTTGGTTATGGTCAGTAAACATGCAGCCCATCTCTGGAAACACAACTGATTGTTTTTGGCTGAAAAAGATGATCTTATAATTGCTTCCAAGCAGTTGGAATAAGATGATAATTCTGGCTAAAATCCTAAAAACCTTTAATAGGGAGGCCCACTGAAGTCAGTGGAATTTACTTCTGAATGTACATGCTTAGAAATGCACTGTCTGTCTTCAAGTTCCTGATTTTGTATTAAGTCAATACAATTTTTGGCCAGCTTAAAGCTTACTCTAGTCTTCTCTCCTCCCAACTATTCCAATGTGTGTCCCTTAACACCTTTCAGAGTTGAGCACCCAGCTGGTGGATACAAGAAACTTTTTGAGACTGTAGAGGAACTGTCCTCACCAATAACTGCTCATATTACAGGTGAGTGATTTGCTAATATTTTCTTTTTTAACCCTTACTTGCCTTCAAGAGCTGCATTCTGTTCACTGAGATAAGGAAGGTAGAGTTTGTCTCAGAGGTCTAGTGATATTTGAAGGAGAAAACCCAGGCCATAAATGCAAAGGCTAATATAGAAGCTGGCTCTTAAAAAATTAGCAGTTATACAAACCCCACTCATATTCTAACACAGTATTAATTTCTGTGTTAACTCAAACTGGAATCCTGTGCTCAGTTTTATTGCTTAAGCAATAAGTTACTAGGAATATCATCTTTCAAATGTCACCCATAGCACCAGACCTTTAACACACACACACACACCAGGTGACATTTGGATAATATTCTGGTATTCAGATGTTTACCTGAGCAAACTCCCCCAGAATGTTACACCAGCTACAAGGTTTACTTTTATAACTTCAGAAGCATCTTAGGAAGCAATTCCTAAGTATCATATAAATGTGCTTAGGTGTGAAAAGTTGGTCATTTGGAGTGCTGTTTGATGGATGTTCATTATATTGTCAAAAAATCTCAAGTTCAAGTCCCCCCTCTCTTAATCCCTTACTTTCCAATGTGGGAATTCACTAGTTTTTCCAAAATGGAAAACTAAATAAACTCTCTATGTAATACCAATTACACTGATTTAGTTCAAGTCTTGGTATCATTTATGAAAACCACTGGATCTTACAGTAAGCAGCTAGCAGTCTGTGGAGCAGTCTGTGGAGAAGCTCTTATCTCAGCTTCCTCCCTTCCCAGAGACAGCCCAAGACATTTTGTGCCTGTGGCAGAAAACTGAAAATCTCCCTTTGCCAACACCGAGTCCTGCATAATGCCAGAGCTAATAGTCTTATTCATGTCCCACAGTCCTCTGTTGTTTTAGCATGAAAGGATGAAGGGGACAGAAATAGGTCCACAGGTTACTCAGATCATATTAACAGCAGCTGGGATAAATGACTGGGGACAGGATGATGATGGAAGGGGAAGATGATTAATCCTCTTTCAGCTTCACGTCTTGTTCTACTACTGTTGTTAACATGCTCAGGTGGGGAGCGGCCAGCACATCCCCCCCCCCACAGTGACATACCCCACCCCACTTGATGTATCTTGTAGATCCTTAAAGCAAAGGTGTTGAACTCATTTGTTATGAGGGCTGGATCTGACATAAACATCACTTTGTCGGGCTGAGCTATGTGTGCTCAAAATACAAACATGCTTAAAACATTAGGTTTCTTATAATATCCCTACCATGATGCCCACCCTCCCATTTCAACTGCCCATTACACATTAGCACTGGGACAGTATAAAGGGTGTGTCCACAAGAGAGCAACCAGGATGGTGAGAGGGTTGGAATCCAAGTCTTATGAGGAAAGGCTGAAAGAGTTGGGTATGTTTAGCCTGGGAAAGAGAAGGCTTAGAGGGGACATGATTGCAGTCTTCAAGTATTTGAAGGGCTGCCATGTAGAAGATGGAGCGGATCACTTCTCTCTTGCTCCGGATTGCAAGACTAGATCTAATGGGTGGAAATTAAAAGGGAGTCATTACCGGCTAAATATCAGGAGAAACATCCTAACTGTAAGAGTGGTTGAGCAGTGGAACAGTCTGCCTCGGGAGGTGGTGGATGCTCCTTCGCTGGATGTTTTCAAGCAGAGGCTGGACGACCATCTTTCGGGAATGTTGTAGGTATGTAGGGCTATCTTTCAACGATGCTCCTACAGAGTGCAGGGGGTTGGACTAGATGACCTGCAAGGTCCCTTCCAACTCTAACATTCTATGATTCTATAATGCACAGCCTCTGTCTTCTGGCAATAAAGGTAATGACCAGTTGCTTGTGGGCCAGGTAAGAGCCCTGGATGGGCCAGATGTTTGACACCCAACCTTAAAGAATGTACTTATTTCAGACAGCACAACTCCAACGTCTATTATTTCTGAAACGTTTTATAGGAGAAACTTTTCTTTTTGCTCCCTTTACAATAGGCAGGATTCCAGTTTGGCTCAAAGGCAGTCTCCTCAGATGTGGACCTGGATTATTTGAAGTTGGCTCAGAACCATTTTATCATCTGTTTGATGGGCAAGCACTGCTTCACAAGTTTGACTTCAAGGAGGGCCATGTCACTTATTACAGGAGGTCCGTGTTCAGCAAGCAAATGGTGAACTTCATAATCTCCAGTGCTGCCAATGAATGACAAGATGGTACCTTTCAGCTACTCAGGCACCCTCAGCAATTTAAATCAAACTTGTCTTTACAATAATTCAGTTAAAAATTAATGTTAAGTTTTGTCCACTTCCGTAAATCCAGAATCTATTTTAGTGTTTTTGAACAAAGTATTGTAAAGCATGTTAAACAAATGCCATATAAGCAGTAGATAATTCCTGCTGAAGACCATGCAACAAGGATGCTTTGGATGTAGCTTTCAGTATTTATGGATGGGATTACTTACTCTTGTGCAACTCCCTCTCCCTTTCCCACGCCTTATCTTTGTTTCTCGCTGTGGTGCCTCTTCCACTCTAGGGCTGGCAGTGACATGACTGTTGCTATCCCACGGCTGTTCCCATGCAATTTCTGAGGACACAGATAACTTCCACCCATATGGTTAGGATGTACTGCATGGTTATGTATTTTATTTATAGGTTGTCTTTCTCACTGGGATTCAAGGTGGATTACACAGAGTGAGTCAGTACAATTTAACAGGATGGGACATTCAATAAACAATGAAATAGAATTAGGATTATAGAAATAAGATGAATTCCACCAATAGTGGGGAGCATGACATCCTTCAAAATATCCACCTTCCAAACTGTCATTACCTCTGTCTTTTCATGCTTTAATTTCAATTTGTTTACTCTTAGCCAGTTAAGTACAACAGCCAGGCAGCTATTCGGGACCTCTATCACATCATCAGGAGATTTGCACAAGGATATATCATTGTCATCAATATGCTGGGTATTGTCAGGATATGGATGGCAACCAGCCCCAAAACCACAAATGATTTGCCCTAAGGGCTTTACATAGGGATTGAAAGGCATGGGGGGGTTAGTAATACATATATCCCTATCAAGTAGATATATGTATTAGAGCTCCTTTACCCATCACCCATAGTATTAGTGTTAGGGTATTAATATCCCTTCCCCCATCCCATAATTGTAGTGTGTAGAAAATGCAAAAAAAAAAAAAAAAATTCCCCTTCGGGGGGCCAAAAAAAAAAGGCATGGGGGGGGGGGGGTAGAACTGCACTCTGCAGAACACCACAGGATAAGCCCCATACTGAGGATAACTGGTTTCCAATAGCAGCCCTTTGAATTTGAACCAGTTCAGTGCCCATACCAATACCTACTTCTTTCTCAACATGATGGCATGATCTACTGTATCAAAGGCTGCAGATAAATCCAATAAGAACTATAAGGAGACATAACCTTTGCCTACACTCAGACAGAGGTTATCAGCTAAAGCTAATAGCCAGTTTGGTGTAGTGGTTAAGTGTACAAACTCTAATCTGGGAGAACCGGGTTTGATTCCCCACTCCTCCACTTGCACCTGCTGATGTGACCTTGGGTCAGTCACAAGCTCTGGCACAGCTGTCCTTGAAAAAGAGCAGTTTGTGTCAGAGCTCTCTCAGCCCCACCCACTTCACAGGGTGTCTGTTGTGGGGAGGGGAAGGGAAAGGAGTTTGTAAGCCGCTCTGAGACTCCAAGTGAAGGGCGGGGTATAAATCCAATCTCTTCTTCTTCTTCTTCTTCTTCTTCTAACAGAGCCATCTCTATCTGATTCCACACCAGTGACATACTTAAGGCCACTTCTGAGGTTATTTCCTTTCTGCATTGCTACAGTATTTCAGAAACCCAAGGCCTTATGCCAGTGTTGCTTTTATAAGGAAGATGATACATTACTGGTGTGAATGATCATGTCATGGTCTCTGTTCATGTGTCTTGTGTGTTCCCATATCAAAGAATAACAACACAGAATAACAACAAAATCATCACATGATCTACCCTAGCCATATGGGCAGAAGTTGCCTACATTAGCCAAAATTGGTGTATGAGCAGCCTGAAGGAAGTAGCCACCATGTTGCAGCAATTAACAATTGATCAGGACCTACAGCATATATTTATAGCTCTTAGGCGCTTGTTTTCTTCATAGGTTTGTCCGGACTGATGCCTATGTAAGAGCAATGACAGAAAAAAGAATCGTAATAACAGAATTTGGCACATATGCTTACCCAGATCCATGCAAGAATATATTTTCCAGGTAACAAAAAGTATATTGTTAAACTAATTTTTCCACTACGTAGTTCAGGAGGGGGAGAAAAATCTTATTTCCTTGTTGAATGTCTTTGCCAGGTTTTTTTCATACTTCAAAGGTGTAGAGATCACTGACAATGCTCTGGTGAATGTGTACCCTGTGGGTGAAGATTTTTATGTTTGTACTGAAACCAACTTCATAACCAGAATTAACCCAGAGAATTTGGAAACAATTAAAAAGGTAAAATGTTAATAGATAAAAGCCAGAGATTAATAAGAAATAGAAATTAACAACATTGGTGACTCATGCTATGAATATATAACAAATATGTAGGAAGAGCATAATGATGTGAAATGCTTTGCCTAAAGAATGGTCTGCTTGAATATGAGGTCTGTGGCAGAAGCCAAGCCATATCTTCTGATTGAATTTAATTCAAATTCAAATGTTGGCCTCCTGCACCAAATGTTCTACCAAAAACATTTTCTCAGAATGCACTGGCCCAGTGCTGGTCTGCCCAGCTACTAGAACTTATGGGACACTTGTAACAGTATTGATTGTGAGACAGTAGATTGGACCTATTAGTATTTAGATGAATTGTCAGCAGAGAGATTGGTAATTTTACAGAATTTGTTATAAATGTGAGAGATGCAGAATTTCTGAGAAGTGGTATTGGAGACAAGGACAATTAAGAGACTAATTATTAATGACAATGAAGTTATTAAAAGCAGATTCTGGGGTCGTGGGTCAGAGAATTCCTGGGGCCCTCTCCCCTTCTCTGCCCACCATCAGGCCCCTGATCACTCTCCTTCCCTTCTGCCCACCCTCCTGCTTCCCATGTGCCTCTGTGTCCTTCCCCCGCCCACTCGCAAGACCTTCCACTGCCCATGATCACGCCCACTCGCAAGACCTTCCACTGCCCATGATCACAGCTGTCTACACAACCCATGATTTCCCTGGTGGCACTGCACAGTGCTTGCAGTTGGGACCACAGGTGGTGGAGCATTAGTAACTGAGTAGGTGGGGGGGTCAGCAGCAGTGGGCCCTGCCAGAAGCCTTGGGCTCTGGCAGCTGCCCCACCTCAGGGTATGTTGATGCTGGTCCTGACAAGAACTCTTTCAGAGCTCTTTCTTCCATGCCATTTTTCATACAAGGAGATAAACACTGCTTAAGAAAATGTATGAACATAGTCTTATGTTGCATACATACTGGTTATTTTACCAAGAGCATATTTTGAGAAGCCAATATATATCATATATTTGTGGCAAAATAAATACAGTGCAATTTCCCTAAACATTGACAAAACTCTGGGTAATATGTGGCTGTATTGAAATAAAGCTGCATATCCTCCGACACGGAAAACAAAGCAACAGTTATGCATTTTTGCTTCTATACAAGGGCAAATAGTGCTTCTATACAAGGGACCTCATAAAAAAAGGATAGTTGGGCTGTGAAAATGGGACTGAAAGGAAAGATACATACAGAATTGGAGAGAGGGTGCAGAAGAATATTCATGCAAATCCGATTGGTGCCATCATGACCTTCTTTATAAACAATAGCAAACGACCTCTTGTCAGCTGAAAGACAGGATTGTCATATACTGACAATTATCAAAGCCACTTCATAGGGCTCTGAAGACTCTCTGCCACTGCCTTCATCCCTCCTGAAGAATACTCTAATTTGTGCATGCTCTCATGGCATACATGCCTGCTCAGACCCAAATAAACCAATCTAAATTACCAGGTTAGGATAATTGAACTAGCTTTAAAAACTTGTCCTTATATATTCTTTGTTGGTTACTTTGAAAATTTACTTGCTAATTCCAAAGACTAACATTTCTCCTGCACATTGGTATGTTTCTATAGATTGTGTGACAAAGAGACTATTCATGTATAATGTCATTACCCACAAAACATTTCCCACTGGGTAAAAACAACTTTAAATAAGCCATATTTTCCCATTACCCCTCTAAAGAAGCCATTGTAGTTAACCATATTTATTTTCCCTTAACCTTCTAGCAACTATTTCAACCACACAGTACTGTCTAAAAGTATTAATTTGTGATTGCTAGATAGTGACTAGTTATCTAGGAGGTTAATCATAGTAAATCCTGCTCACCTTAATGTCTAAGAGAAGACTTCCATTTAACTCAGATGATTTCCCCAATAAATCTAAGGAAGCATGCCTGCGGTAATTCAGAAGTTAGTTGCTCAGTTTAAGTATTATGACTTATGAAAGGAATTACATAATAATGTACAGGGTATCACAAAATGAACCAAATGTACTACAATAAGCAGTTTCTCCTGACTGAGTATGGATTTTCCCCAACCAAGTCAACTCTTTGATTCATTCCTTAGGTGGATGTCAGCAAATACATTTCAGTCAATGGGGTAACAGCACATCCTCACATTGAAAATGATGGGACAGTTTACAATATTGGCAACTGTTTTGGAAAGAATTTTTCACTTGCCTACAATATTGTGCGGATTCCTCCCCTGAAAGCAGGTCTGTTCATTTCCAAAGAACACCAAAATATTTCAGAACATAAAGGCATATTTATTTTTCCATTTGCCAGTTAAATGTGCTATCCTTGTTGTACTTTTGACTTTTTAGGTGATAGTGTTGCCATATCTTACATATCGGTTGAAATTTTCAAAGGTTTTTTTAAAACAATGAATTAATTATAAGAACCCATGCTTGGGTTGAAGACAAAACAGGTGTTCTTGTAGACAGTTATCACTGACTAGCTTGTGCAAGAGAAATTCCTTCGATGGATTATGCCCTTACATTCAGTCTTTTTTCAGACAAACAAGACCCAATTACCAAATGTGAAGTGGTTGTACAATTTCCTTGCAGTGACAGATTCAAGCCATCTTATGTTCACAGGTAAATTCTAAATGTTATACAAATAAATTATATTAAAGATGGCTAGTTAGATCTACACAAAACTGTAGTAAAAATAAACTGTAACAAGATTCCAGTGGTACTTTAGAGGCTGAGGTGTAAAAGAGAGGCTAGTTTAAAACGAGATCCAATCAAATGGGTCATTAGTCCACTCAGAGTGGGTGAGGACCACTCCCAACTGTGGACAGACAGGCTAAAATAAGATTACTCTACGAATGTTGGCATATTTGCAATTATGTCCTCACATACACTTATGCAACACAGTCACAGAACCTAATAACATCAGCTTCACCATCCTGGTCTTATTTGGTTGCTCATCCTCCAATGCAGTATCTGCCAGTGTGTATCAAGAATGCCCTTCTGTTCTCTACATTGGGGTGGAAAGGTAAATCCATACTTAGAAGAACAAATGGTTCAAAATCTGACATGAAAAACTGCACATTCTGAAACCAGTGGGTGAATATTTTAATCTTAGGGCATAGTTGGATCTTGTTTTAAACTAGCCTCTCTTTGTAATGTCACCTACTGTTGTTTACAGCCTTTAATATAAATTCATCATTCCTATGGATGTATACTTCATTCATCTGATGAAGTAAGCCTCATGAAAGCTTAGGCTGGAATAAAGTTTGTTAGCCTCTAAAGTACCCATGGACTCCTGTTTTACTTTGCTGCAAAAGACACACATGACTACCCATCTGGAATAAAAATGTGCTATTGGCCTTCATATCATCAATCTATTTTAAAATAGGCATTTTTAGAAAAATCTTTGTCCCAAATGCAAAAGAATGGACATGTTGATAAACCATTCCATGTTGACAGGAAAACCATGAAACCAGCAACGAGAATAGAAAAGCAAAAGAAATGGGCAATGATCCAAAAACCCACAGCTGAATTTTGTATACTGTCGCTATTGTATACTGTCACTTTCATACATATAAAAAACATTGTTATCTAATATGTACCATCCTCAATTATGTACCTGAACAGTTTTGGGCTGACTCCTAATTACATCGTGTTTGTTGAAACACCTGTGAAAATCAACCTGCTGAAGTTTCTTTCTTCCTGGAGTCTCTGGGGAGCCAACTACATGGACTGCTTTGAGTCTAATGAAAGCATGGGTGTAAGTGAAGTTGTTCATATTTATTTTTCATACTTTTATACTGCTTTTTTAACCAAGATCTCAGAACATTTAAAAAACAACTACTTCAGCATCCTCTAAAACATGTTAAAGGATCTCAATCAACAGCAATATAAATGTAAGTTTTTTAACTTCCTGTACTAAACCTCAGCAAATAAATAAAAATAAAACCTCAGTTCCAAAAAGTCACATGGCACTGAGGTGATTAATAAATAAATGTAGAAGGTGAATCTCTAGGGAAAGTGAGGCCCACTAGGCAAAAGTAACACAGGTCCTGTTGTTTCGGCTGGATATCAATCTAGCATCTACCTGCCACCATTGTTAAAAAGAATATAGAAGTACATATAGCAGTAGCCTATTTGTTTTACAAAGGTGAACAGTGTAACTATTATATTTTTAGGTCTGGATGCATGTAGCTGACAAAAAAATAGGGAAATACCTCAACATCAAATACAGGACATCACCATTTAACCTCTTTCATCATATTAATACTTATGAAGATAATGGATTTTTGGTTGTTGACCTATGCACATGGAAGGGGTAAGATACTGGCACTGAGACTGCTGCATTCAAAGCTCTGAAGGGGTCCAAACAGAACCTAAAAAACCACAGGATTCAAGTGGCAATTTATTTACAGAATTTATTTGCTTTAAAGATCAACAAAATTTATTCCAGCATAAGAACTGATGAGTCAGAGCACACTTCATCAGATGCATGAAGTATATGTCCATGAGGCTGCTGAAATACATATTGAAGGATGCAAACAATAGAATGGGGGGGGGGATATTACAAAGAGAAGCCAGTTTAAAGGAAGATCCAATCATGAGAGTAATCTTTCCACTCAGTGCGTGAAGATCACTCCTAAGGGCAACTTTATTTTATAATACTGAGGAATAATCTCACTTTGACAAAGGGATGGCTGAATGGACACTTTGTGTTTAGGATTAAAAACCAGTTATTTGACTGGAATTCAAGGTCACACAGAGCTGCTGAAAGCATACAGTGCAAATGGCAGCAGTGAAAGCATACAGCACAAATGGCAGCAGCAGCAGCTGCCACTTTAAAAAATCCATTCATAGGTCTCTAGAAAAGTTGGCTAGTTGAGTCCTCATTTCCAGATCACTGTGTTTAAGAGTGCAACCTAAGGAGTCTTAATCTAATCCGGCAACATATTTAGGTTTAACCTCATGCTATTAAATTTAGAACACTGTCAGAGAGCCAGACATTTGACTGTTCTACTATAGACGTCTACTTCTTTGTCATAGGAGCTGTGATAATTTTTCAAAAAAATAAAGCTGATCTTAATGTTAATAATGTCTTTGTACAGGTATGAGTTTGTTTACAATTACTTATATTTAGCCAATTTACGGGAGAACTGGGATGAAGTGAAGAAAAATGCACAAAAAGCTCCTCAACCTGAAGTTCGGCGTTATGTCCTTCCCCTAAATATTGAAAAGGTAACTGTCAGTTATAGGTTCATTTCTCTGAGAATATCAAGGCCTGACTAACTTTTGAAAACTCCGTATGAATGGTCTAAATTCAGACTTCTTCTAATGTTCTATTATCTTTGATGGGAAATATTTGAGAACTGGTTTGGCATGCAGGCTGAGTCATGAATCAGGAAGTCCCCCTAGCTTGAAATCCTAGCTCGTGGAGAAGGAACCTCCAACAGATCCACAAGCCCAAAATCAGATGTTGTAGCAAAAAGGAGTTTGGCTGACGACCACGAAGGTTTCAGTTGCATTCTGGAGGGTGGGGAGGATGAGGGAGCATGGCAACAAGCCAGCTTCATGTTCATTTATAAACAAGCCTCTGCTTTGTTCACGGTGTGAATTTAGCCACAGTGTGGTCATGGTTTCTGGTTACTTCAGCAGTGGAAGAACATTAGGAGAATGGTGCAATGGTGAGGAACAGTGTAAAATACTGGAAGGAAGTATAGCACTGGAAGCTTTAGTATTTCCTGCCTCTTTCATTGTCTCAGGCTGACACAGGCAAAAATTTAATCACACTGCCTAACACAACTGCTACTGCCATACTGCGCACTGATGAAACAATCTGGCTGGAACCAGAAGTCATTTTTTCAGGACCTCGTCAAGGTAAGATCAACCTCAGCCACAGGCAACAGAAATAGCTTAGTAAATGCGAATGATTCAAAAAATGTCTATAAATGTGTCTCTTGTTTTATAGCTTTTGAGTTTCCACAAATAAACTACACAAAGTATTCAGGGAAACCCTACACATATGCATACGGACTTGGACTGAATCACTTTGTTCCAGACAGGGTAAGCAATATGTGCTAATGTCTGCACTGGACAAACTTTTGCTCCATGCAAAATGAAAATCCACAATCATTCCCATGGCCAGGACTAGCACTGATATAGATGTTCAAAGAACAGTTTTTCGTACCTGCTTTCTCTCCACCAATACCCAGCAGCAAGTTCTGGATTATTTCGATCCATTCAGCCTAGAGGAGGTTGACAAATTACTCATTGGTTTGCCCAACCACCTGTAGCCTCGATCCGTGCCCATCATGGCTAATTAAAGCAGGCCGTGATGGGCTGCGAGGGGCACTAAGGGAGATCATCAACAAGTCCCTCATGGAGGGACTGTTCCCTAGTGCCCTAAAGGAGGCAGTGGTCCGCCCCCTCCTAAAAAAGCCATCATCAGGTCCGGCTGAATTGACTAATTATCGGCCGGTATCCAACTTGCCCTACTTGGGCAAATCAATCGAGAAGGCGGTGGTGAATCAGTTGCAGGGTTTTTTGGATGACGCCTCCATATTAGACCCCTTCCAGTCCGGCTTCTGACCAGGCCACGGGACAGAGACGGTCCTGGTCCCCCTCACAGATGTTCTCCAGAGGCATCTAGATCGAGGCGGTACGGCGGTGTTGATGTTGTTAGACCTGTCGGCAACGTTCGACACAGTCGACCATCAACTACTGATCCACTGCCTCGCCGACACCGGGATTCAGGGGCTTGCCTTGCAGTGGCTCTCCTCGTTTCTTCAGGGTTGGGGACAGAGGGTGGCAGTTGGGGAACAGCTATCCGGAAAGCACCCACTAATTTGCGGAGTGCCCTAAGGAGCAGTGTTTTCCCCAATGCTCTTTAACATCTACATGCGCCCTCTTGCCTAGATTGCCTGGAGACAAGGACTGGGCTGTCACCAATATGCTGATGACACCCAGCTCTATCTGTTGTTGGAAGGCCAGTCAGAATCTAATCCGGGAGATCTGGATCTGGTGTTGAAAGCCTTGGCTGTTTGGCTTAGACTGAGTCGACTGAAATTGAATCCGATGAAGATGGAGGTCCTGTGCCTGAGTCGGAGCGGGCCAAGGTTAGGGATCCCTCTCCCGATCTTCAATGGGGCGCCGTTGGTGCCAGCGCCGGAGGTTAGGAGTTTGGGAGTGCTCCTGGACACCTATTTAATGATGGAGGCCCAGGTAGCAGCCACTACAAAGTCTGCCTTTTACCATCTATGGCTGATTAAGCAGTTGGTTCCCTTCCTTGAACGCAATGACCTGACGACAGTGATCCATGCAATGGTCACCTCAAGATTGGATTACTGTAATGCTCTCTACATGGGGCTGCCCTTGTCTCAAATCCAGAAGCTGCAGCTGGTGCAGAATGCAGCAGCGAGGCTGTTGCTGTGTCTTCCTGTGCGGGAACACATCCAGCCCACCCTAAAAGCACTGCACTAGCTGTCTATAGCATACCGGATACGGTTCAAGATGCTGGTTCTTACCTTTAAGAAGAAGAAGAAGAGATTGGATTTATACCCCGCCCTTCACTTGGAGTCTCAGAGCGGCTTACAAACTCCTTTCCCTTACCCTCCCCACAACAGACACCCTGTGAGGTGGGTGGGGCTGAGAGAACTCTGACACAAACTGCTCTTTTTCAAGGACAGCTGTGCCAGAACTTGTGACTGACCCAAGGTCACATCAGCAGGTGCAAGTGGAGGAGTGGGGAGCCCTATGTGGTTGGGGACCTAAGGGACCGCCTTTCCCCACATGTGCCCCAGAGAGCATTAAGATCTGGATCCCAAAATGGCCTGGCCCTTCTGGGCCCGGAAGAGGCCAGGTTGGCTACAACGAGGGCCAGGGCCTTTTCAGTGGCAGCCCCACACTGGTGGAATGAGCTCCTGGACGACATCAGGGCCCTGCGGAACCTTCTGCAGTTCCACAGGGCCTGTAAGACGGAGCTCTTCTGCCAGGCTTTCAAGTAGGGGCCATCTTGACATCATGGCCCTGGCCCTAACATTGACATCACCACCAACCTGGCCATAACATCAACATTACCACCAGCCAGATGATTAACAGCCTGGCAGGAGCCTGGAGGCGGCCACTCAAACAATGATAGAATGACACCATCTTGTACTATAGTTATGTGTTTTATATTGTAATCGCAATTTAATATTATTTTATTATATATACTGGGATTTTAATGTATTTAAAAGCATGCTGTTAGCTGCCCTGAGGTGTGACGGGGAGGTGTGGTATATAAATTTAAATATAAATAAATAAATTTGAATAATCAAGTTGGTTTCAATTAAAGACTAATCAAAAAGCAATGTGGTTTAACTCAAATTTGAAATATACTTTGATATTTATTCCAATCCTGGCCTACCTAAATACATGTGTATATAAAAGCCCAAATAAGCATTTTTTAAAAAAATATTCATAAAATAAAGGTAATCAATACCATTTCAAAGTAGCATAGATATCAGTTTATGAGAATGCAGTACAATGCCGGTTATATATGCAGCACAAGGCATGTATATCCAGATCCAGAGCATGCAGTACAATGAGTATATATCCAGATTTGTCTGCTGCTCTGTATTTTCTCAATTCTAGCCAACAGATAAGCTACCATTTCTTCTCAGAACAAGGCTATCAATAATACCAACAACAAGAAAGGATAATGTTAAATCAGGCTCAGTTCTCGTAATTGCTTTCAATGTAGTAAAGCACAAAGTGGCTTCTAACCGTTACTTTATCATTCAAATGTATTCATGCAGTAATATTTCATACCACACTCTGATGATGAAAATTATGGATAAACATTATTTGAAGTGACTTTGCAATATCAATAGAGGTAGTAATGCAGGTTTCTGTCTGATTAGCCTGTGTTAACTTCCAATTAACTTCAATAATAATTTCCCTTTATTTTTGTCAGCTTTGTAAGATGAACGTTAAAACTAAAGAGACATGGGTGTGGCAAGAAACAGATGCATACCCTTCTGAACCAATCTTTGTTTCTCAACCAGATGCCCTGGAAGAAGATGACGGTAATGTCTTTATTTAAGTCCATTACACTCTCCTATCCCTGTGGGTCAGGAAGGGTCTCTGAATGCCAGGTGTATTCCAAAGAGAAATGTAGTTTGCACTCACTAGAACTTGACTGATGGACCTGTCATGCTTTTGATTTATAACTGTATTTGAAGCTGTTTTAGTAGCGGACATTTGTCCTAGTGCTTCTTCATCTGGGTAATTCTTTTTTTTTAAATTCAGGTATTATCTTGAGCATTGTCATTAGCCCTGGAAGTGGACCAAAGCCAGCCTACCTTTTGATCTTGAGCGCAAAGGACATGAGTGAAGTCGCCAGGGCCGAAGTAGACATAAACATTCCAGTTACTTTTCATGGAATGTTCAAAAGGTCATGATAGCAGCGTTGAGTCCATCATCACTAACACCTGCCTTTTAGAATAACGGATGCAGCTCTAAATGGAACTCAGAAATAGCTGTCTTCCCACTGTTGGGCAATGACTTGTAAAATTATTTTAGTAAGACTAACACTTCAAAAAAGGGCAAATCCACAGAATTTAAACATGATTTTGTGTACCTTGTCTATCATAAATGTTTTTGGAAACTGTCAACATGGTGTCTCATTAATAGAGTTTTAAGAGTATAGGTGCTTTACAGCACCACATACACTTTTAAGTTGTCATTCTAACAAAGAACCCTAAACAACGACTAATGATAAAGGTATGACTATTTTTAAATTTTACTTATTCATCATCTACCTCGTTGAGATTCAGAGTGGATTCTAGAGTTATAAAGACTGCACTTTTCCTACTATTTTGCAGTTATGATGTACAGTGTATACCATGAATAATGCAATAAAACTGGATTACACAAATTAAAAAACAATGAAATAGAACAGTATAATACACTGCATAGGCCTGATTTCCGATCACACTATATTTATATCATTAAATTCTTTACAAGCCTCCTCTTCTACTTACACCCGTATGACAGGTAGAGGATATTGTTGCGGTGACAGGATCTGATATTTCTGCTGTTTTATAATTCTTAAACACTGTGCAATAACCTGCCAAAAGAGAAAGTACAACACAAATAACACCAGATAATAATTGAATAGGGCTTCAACCACTGCATTTACTTCTTTGAACCTTTTTCGGCACAACTGGTGTTTCCTCTTAAGCACTAGAATAGTTTGAAAATCTTGAGTCTTAGTGCAGCAGTAATAAACTCTTTTAACCAGCTCCTTTACTCCACATCATGACACAAAGAACATGAGGTTTATTTTGTTCTACTAAAGGCCAACATGGGCAGTCTGAACAGTCCAGACTAACCTGAGCTCATCGGAGCTTGGAAGCTAAGCAAGGTCAGCCACGGTCAGTACTCGGATGGGGGACCACCAAGGAAGACCAGGGTTGCTGTGCAGAGGAAGGCAATGGCAAACCACTGCTGCCCATCACTTGCCTTAAAGGCCCCATGAGGGATAAGTCAGTGGTGACCTGAAAGCACTTTATCATTATTTATTATTGAAGGCCAGTATAAGGAAATAGCAATTTCCTTCTGAAAATAACAGCAGGCTACAAAGCTCAGTACATGGCAGTCGTAAAAGCAGTCACAGATGCAGCAAGTCATCATCTCAAATAACCTCTTTTAAGTAACAAGGAAAAAATACTATTTGATCCAAAAGTCCTGCTGCATGAGCCAAAAGGGGAGAAGGAAAATGACCAGTTCCATCCACTACTCAGCTGCTTTTCAAAGGGGGTAGGAGAATTGTGCTCTAGCGGTAGGAATTTTGGATCCCAGTCTGAAGAGTATTTTATAGGTAATTACTGAAGACACCAAAATGAAATTCTCAGAAGGTCACTACTCACTATAAGACTCATGGAGTAAGAACAGGAGATATGATGGCAGAACTGGCAAGAGGCAAGCAAGGTTGACAGTAGTGAAGCATATAAAGCATATATGTGTATATAACAGTAACAAGTGTCACAGTTTCATGATGCAGTAAAAAAGAGGCAATTCATTCAGGACTAAGCCTACAGATGCATCTATTCTAATTTTCATAAACAGTAGTTACCTCTCTGAAGTATGCCATAACACTGCTCTCTTTCTACTCTATCTGCCCTATCCTGGGCTCCTTTTCCAATCGCCTAATAAAAGCATCAGTCATACGCACACTTAAACCCAGTGGAATTTACTTCCAAGTAAACACACATTTAGGAGCTGCGGTGGCTCAAGTGGTTAAGACACTAAGCTGCAGGCTGTGGAAGGTCAGTAGTTCAGCAGTTTGAGACCCGAGTTGCCGCATGACGGAGTGAGCTCCCGTCTCTAGTTCCAGCTCCTGCCAACCTAGCAGTTCGAAAGCAAGAAATCGCAAGTCGATAAATAGGTACCACTTCGGTGGGAAGGTAACAGCGTTCCGTGCACCTTGGTGTTTAGTCATGCTGGCCACATGACCACGGAAACATCTTCGGACAGGGCTGTCTCTTTGGCTTTGAAATGGAGATGAGCACCACAACCCTAGAGTCGGACTCGACTGGCTTTCGAGCAAGGGAACCTTTACCTAAACACACATTGCACTGCAAGATTCACACACTTACCTTGAAATAAGTACTACTGAACACAACAGTAGTGGCTTCTGATAAACATGCCAAGGATCTGGCTGCTATTCCTGGTTCTGCCCATGCATTTTGTTTCCAAAAGAAACAAATTAAAAGATATTCAACCATCCATTGATTGGGGAAAGGTGAAAGAATGAAAAAAGTGGGGGGGAAAGATGCCCCAAATCAATGGTTTCCCATTGGAGGGAACTGACAGAGTATGCGATCCAGTGCAGGTTTAATTGAAAGTAAGCCCCACTGTGTTCAATGGGGCTACAATCTCAGGTGATTGTTTAGGATTACAGACTAAAGCACTTCTGCCCATTGTATCAGATGTTAGGAGTAAGAATAATTTGTCTTGAATAAATTCAACATCAGCTAATTGGCGAGCTGAATGAATGGCAATAAACTTGTAACAGGCTACATGGAAAGTGTGAAAATAACTGTAAACAGGTATTTTGGACTGCAGGGCATGGCAGCATAACGGGTAAGAATACATCTTGCATAGAGTAGGCTTCTAAAGTGTAGACATGTTCTTACACAGGAAACCTACCTTCCTAGAATTCTGGGGTAGAATCACACCATCATCCCACACCCTGGCAGAAGAGTAAAATGCACTACTTTCTTCTTCTAGTCTGGAAATGTAAAATTTTGTAGAGGTAAATCATTTTTTAAAAACACACACAAATACTCTCTTCAGAGACATTTACAAAAATCCTGTGTGCCCCTAGAAGCATAACACACAAATTCCTCAAGGGAAAAATACCTCAAAACGTAACCCAAATCTGCTCATTCAATTAGATACATTTTATTTTAGTGAGCTGAAGATAATCACCAGCAGAGTAATGTGACGACCTCTTATTTGGGGAGGTCTAGTTTTACTTTCAAATGTTATTTCAGTTTCACTCTGTAGGGTATTCTGGCTGCCACCAGGGAAATTTAGGCTTTCCCAACCTTTTTCTATAATATTTTTCCTACTGGTTTTGGTATTGTGACCCAGGGTCTGGGCTTTCAAAGGACTATGTGTTTCCTGAGGAATAAGGGATCAGGCTTCTGGGATAAACTTAAATAAAAAGGATTTATTTGAAGAACAGAGTAAGTTGTTGTTTAAACTGTCACTGTTTGGGAAATAGGTATTTGTAAGTACTTAGGTCAACTGTATCACACTCTTTGTAACTTTGACTCTTTTTACTTCAACTTTTCATAACACAAGAAGGTCTCTCCTTCAGACCTCAGAATGAACTGCTCATCAACTGTCTTATTCAGCGCTAAGACATAGAACTTAACAACCCACACAGGGAAGCTTCTTATTTTAACTGTTTCAACACAGAACTTCTGCTTCTCTCTCAGAAGTCAGAACTTAAACTCCTATCAACTGCTTTCACACAGCACTCTCTTCTGACTGACTAACTGTTTAACTGTTAAACCTTAACTGTCATTTCTCCAACAGTCACTCCTGATAGACATTCAAATCATCCACACAGCATCCATTCCAAAACCCCTCCCCCTCTCTGTCACTCACCAATCATATCACTTGCCTGTTTCCAGCACTCTAGAATATCACAGCCATGCAAACTAAACTTTTAAAGACACACACACACATAAACATGAAATCGTTACAAGTAATTTTACAGATTCAGAACGATTTTAGTTGTTTATGAAATTCAGAAGTATCCTGAAATCTAAACAAATGTCACTAACATTAATTCAGTCTTAATTTGGAAGCTTTCGTTCACAATACACTTACTTTTCCTTTAGTTGTTTTAACTCTGTTCCTGTCCAATTGTCATCCCAAATCAGTGAGTATGTGGGAAAATGTCTTGAATCCACAAGAGCAATTCTTGCATTAGGCCAAAGGAACAGGAAATTTGGATCAAATGATCTCCCACACTAAAATAAATAAATAGATAGATAGATAGTCAACTTTTCAGTTAAGCCTGATGAACAAACTACTCATTGGAAAGTGTTTAAAAGCTTTTGAAATATGACAGAATAGTTTACACTACACCACTGATTTCAGATCTTCTGTACAGCACTGGTAGCTAAGCTTAAAGAGCACAAGCAACAGCTTGAGTCTTAGCAGTGTCATGGAGCCATACCATGACAGATATGGCAGAACCAACCAGCTCTGTCTTCCTTCACAAGCAAAGGTCACACTGAGAACCTACTGTTAGCTGAGTCTAGCACAGATTTAGGAGGGCCTTCCTATTAAGCTTCTTTGCATGATCATGTAAAAGACTGCTTGTGGTCCTCCCTCTTTCCCAGCTCTACCAATACCATACAAGTATTCATATGAAGCACCAATGGAACAGGTGGTTTCTCTGATACAATAGCAATATAAATAGCTGCTCTTGTTGGTCTACTTCTTTCAGGACTAAGCACAAATAAAGCACTGTTTGTAAAGATCAGTTCATTCATAATCTATACAAGTGATTACATATGTAAGCCAGAATCACATTTAAATGAGGAACCAACCACATTTCAGGAGTAAATGCTCTAATACAATTTGCCAAATGCACTATTTCACATATGACTTTAATGATTTTCTGAAGATATTATTTAGACTTAAGTAAGCTTCAATGACAAATCAAACAGAAACTATAACTCCGTTTTCTATCACTGACAGAACCAAATGTATGGAGTAGGTACAAAGCCTGGTACAAATACACGCATCAGATCCCCAGTAAATTGCAAATATGACTTAAAATAAGATCAGTGATTCTGTCTTTGCCAGGCCATTCCAAAGATTGTTCATTCACTACGCAACTAATACAGACTAGAGCTGCATATTGGAAAGTTGGTGAGAAAAGTTTGTCACTAGCACCTAACCCTCTGACATATTGGCCATCATGCTCAAAAAATCTTACCATAGCATAACTTTCATTTCCATAGCAGCCACCAATCACAAGGGTTATTTTGGGGACAGCAGCACAAGCAACCGCAGCCATCATGGAGGCCTGTGCCTTTAACCTATTTGTATGATCCTCAGCCTACATGAGAATGAAAAAA